TAATATGCAGCGCCTACGGATTTATAAAATATATTTTCTTATTATCTATAGGGCGTGCCATCATTTGTCAATGATTTGCATTGAATCATTAATGATATATCAAATGAGATCACATAGTTGACGTCACTGAGTGAACACTAAAACATGGTTTAATACGAATACCTTTAACTATAACTCCGAGTACCTGATCCAACCAATCAAGATGAATGAAACGAGCCTAGACTCATTTGAATAATTTACATTTACAAAATAACAATGACCACCTTCTAACAAAGTTACCAAGATCAGACCAACTTAATGTATTGGCGCAGATTTTACAAATATATTTAAAAGATGTTAGATATCTTTTTTTATGTCAAGCACACAAACGCAAAGGAAGAAGTATGCTAAACCTTGTAAAAAGAATGCTGACGTGAATTACGCTCACCGGTGGACGAATTCATTTGAAAAACTGTATATATTCGTGTGGTCCGAAAGGGATCGGCCCGAAAACACGCCTACGAATAGCCAAACAAGCTTCATAGTTGACACAGCCACATTTAATCACCGCTGGTACTCGTAAACTCGAGTTGTTTGTTCTTTATGACGAAGTCGGACACCAAGCGACTATTTTTCAAAGGGTCATAATAAAATCTAATAGCAGAACACGGAACGACTGAACAACCGCTACAATAACTACGGCTACTTAAATAATGAACAATAATAAATGCAAATTAGAATGGTTAGACTAATTAAAGACATACTGTTGAATATATAAGCTTTATGTTACGACCTTGGACAGAAATAATTACTGAACGTTATAATTTAAGAGAATTCTACTCGAGAAAGATACTGTTAAGATTTTATTAGACCTTTATTACTTTGGAGTTTGAACTTTATATTAGAAAAATATTATATAGAGGAAAAGTTTGGGAATTTTTATGTACAGGATAAACACCAGTACTACGGAGCCGATTTTGAAAATTCGTTTATTGTTATACAGTTTATTTTTCTAGGCAGGGATATATACTATAGAACATCACACCACAATCGAGAGGCGACAATGAAAAACGTTGTTGCGCGGATCAGCCGATTAAACCGCAAAAACCTATCAGACTTCAGAGACTGCCTAAAACAAAATTTCAACAAATCATTTCATTTTATAAACTTCATTATTGACGTTATCTCACTGCAGTAAACTTTATCTGAATCAGTTCAATAATATAAAGAGATGTAGGCAGACACTCACACCTACTTCTGCCGCATGCAGTTTATTTTACCAGCTGTGTACCGCATTCGAATCTTCAGTTGCAAAGGGAACATGACTCGGAAATTGTAGAATATTACGGAATCAGTACATTTTAAGATCTTTGTGGTTCTCCAACGATTACCACAGTTTATCAGATGAGTTGTTGTTTATCGCTCCAGTATAAAGAGACTCATTTTCGAATACATAACTAAAGAAGTCGCATATAAACTCTTTTTTATTTTAATACAAAATGATGGTATCGTATGATATCGTATCGTAATGACTTATGCATTTTGTACACAAAACTGTTTGACTCGTATGATCATTTAGTTACTTTCCGAAACGGAAATTGCACTGTCCTGTATGACAATATAATAGGGCGAAAATCTGTCAGTACTTCAATGTAATTAATATGGTAGTCAAAAGCATAGTAGATTGTCGATTTCATCGTGAACGTAATAAAAACTTGGGTACTATATAAAAGGCAAAGAAATAATATTTTAATAAGTAAGTTTAAGGGGTATCTTAGATTGTTTATGTTTGCATCGGTGTTTTCATCACAAGATACGCCGTGTTTCGTTCCAATAATGTAAACCACCGGCGAATATAATTCACGAATTTATTTCGCATGCGTAAACACTGCCTATATATTAATGCCAAATAATAACAATTGTAATCATGAGTATGAATGTCTATAATGGTGGCTTCTAAACATATTGTACCTGTACATATTTATAAAAGTCTAAATATTCATATATTACCTACTTAGATTTAATTATACGTTATGCTATACATTGTATTTAATATCGATATTATTTTATGCAGGTTTCGTATTCAAAAATAACATACAATTGTATAATCGGTCAGGACTTAACATTTTAGTTTCCATTTTCTAACTTTATGATTGATTACAAATTAGAGCACGTATTATTTAAATAAATCACATTTAAAGCAGTCGTAATAACTGGAATTAGTAATGTTGATAAACAAAACTATTAATTGCATTGTTTGCACTATAATTCACCGAACTGCAACTATGTATGCACTATTACTATGAAACCGTTATTGATGCAAATAATTCGTTTTGCTATTGTAATATGAGATGGCGGGTAACGTACGTACAAAATATACCGTTATAAAGAGGACACCTTGTTAGTATAGCACTCTTGATTCAGTTACTGTACTTTATGAAGAGATGACGGCTTCGGTGATCTACCGGTTTAAACACACCACATCAATTCTGATGATCACTGGTTCGATTCCTCGCACGGTGCAATATTTGTATTCATGCGTATGATTGTCTGTATATATCTCGGTGTATTGTATCTTCATTATAAATGTATTTACAAAAAAAATCTAATTATTTATATAATTTATCTAGTACTCATAACACAAGCTCTGCTTACTGTGGGACTAGATGACGCTGTGTTAATTGTTCAGTTATTTATTTATTTATATTTTCTAACCACGCAAAAATGTCAATAAACGTATTAAAATAGAGGTTACAATAAAGTAGAACTCTTTTCGGGTGCAAAAGTTTTTAAAAAATATATTTAACATAAATATGACTCATTATAACACACAATGATGAAACGTACTAATATTACGCTGAATTCTTATTTGTCGTAGGTACCTATTAAAAACCATAAGTACTAATGCGAATTAGGAAAATTCCTTACAGCATTGTAATAATAATTTTGTTGTTGTAATATTAATATTCCTAGTTTTCCATCGGCTTCAAAAATTAAGATAGACTAAAAAAAACTCCAAATATTATCATAAAGTTTTTCACGGAGCTCTCAAAAATAGAACGTACTTTTGCAAGACTATATTTTGTAATTATTTAGACTATTGCGTAAAATTAAAAACTACACCTATAATTACAACTCAATTATGCAATTTTGTTTATTTTCGTTCAGCTATATTCACTAAACATAACACGCATGTCACACCTACATCAATTCTATAAAAAACGGTCGAATTGTATTTTTTATTTATAACCTTCCTGGCAATTTTACGCCGTAAAGAAATTATGTAATATTGGTGATGTGTCTGTAATTTTTTGTACTGTTGTTGTACCTAAATTTCTCCAATCTCGTTATATCTTCCTTCAATGAATTTCTAATTCTTTCGGTATTTACAAACTGTCTTCTCGGTAAAACACTTATTACAATTTCCGTCCTTATTTTTTTTCGACTTGACTCCAAGTTTTTCCATACGAAGGAATCTATATCATATCTATGTTTAGATCTTTTTCTTCACATCTTTAATGACGTTTCCATGAATATTATGATTACTTTTAAGTCGCAGCTCTACAGTAAAAAGTAATATTTTTATTTCTAGTCAATTATAATTTAGATCTATTAAAAGGTTTGAAGTATAACATGTACTATACTTCCGTACCTTACGATTTCGTTAGTACAGATATATGAATACCGAGAATCAGGCAGCGTGCATGCTTTCGTGATGATGCGGCATCCAGCATTTTAGTACACCGTTATTTCCCTTCAATAAGACGGATTACATCATCGCAAAAATATTCAAAACTGTAGAGTCGATGAATTAAACCTTACTAAGATTACAAAATAATATGATAGTTTGGATACATGTATATAATATTTATTAATTTACTGCATTTAGTAATTTATATAAAATTTAATTAACATTTATGGGGCTGATTGGTTGAAGTCATACCTTTTTACGAGTAAATTTTAATACTTTATTTTCTATCTATATATATAAAAAACTATTACCGAATATGCATATATGTATAAACGCGTATTTAATTCAAAATAAAATAACTACCATGTGAAAAATTATATTAAAAAATATTGACAAATTGACTACAATTAACGGATTGAACTTTGATTTTCTTCATGTAATTTAAAATAAAAAAGAAGGCAACATTATATATAAATAACGTGATTTGTGGAACTCCAGAACCAAAAAATAATATACGTATATAATGATCTAATTGAAACCATTTCGACTACTAAACCGAGCCCTTTTGTGGTCGTGGGAATATAGCTCTTGACCTCATAAATTTATTACAAATGGCGCGCAAAACACTGCCCCGTGACTCGGTGTCCGAGACTGCGCGTTGACACTATGCACGACTCTCTTATCAATGTTATCAATTAGGTACAAAGCCATGCGTTCTCCGCGTAGGTACGTAATGGCACCTATCAGGCTCGCTTCATGATAATAGTATTTTATTTTAATTAAATCAAGACGGCCAACAAAATATAAACAATTTTAATTGTGTTTATTGTATATCAAGGCGACTATATCGGCCTATTCTTCCAAAATATGTAGTGTTTTTTACAGACAATATGCTTATTTTGATAACATTTAAAACTAAACCGTTAAGTAAATATTCAAATTCTATAATTACAATAAAAAAATACATTGTAATATTTAAAATTAATGTAGTATCCGATGTATAGTTGGTACGTTATCATAAACACAGTTTGCTAAACCCTGTAGAGAGAACGCCCTACCTATAGTTATAAATCGAGCACCATTTTATCTGATAAGACGGCACCGATAAGCCGATAATAACCAGTTGACTCACAATCAGAACAATTCCGAATGCTACACTACAACAACGCTCTGAAACGTGTGAAAATTTTATATTTCATAGCAAGGATCTATCTATCACCAAGGATATCCTGTAATTATCTGCTAATATAAAATCTAATATAAAATTTAAAGTTAAATCAAATTTAAAGAAGTTGTAGTTAATAATTCAAGAAATTGTGTATTGTTTCAGCGTTTGAATATTCCAGTGAGATGGTGACATGATTTAGCATGCGTTGGACGACGTGGTGGCAAGTTCTATTCGCGCTTACGGCGCAGTCCCTGGCGCAGGGGATCGTCCCTACCATCTGCGAAGAGGAATACTGCAGATGTGACTCCTTTACAAGAGTCATTTGCAATTGCTCAGATAATACTGTACGTATACAAGCTTTTAATTACATTAGGTGCGTCCGTCTCTTTAAGTGAAAATAAAAAATAATGTATACATTTAGAACACTTTCTTGGTTTCAATGTTTATTATAACAATTTTTATTATAACTATCCTTACCACCCAGTTCCGCTATCTGATTTAGAAGAACTAGCAATAAACTCAACTGGTACTTTTTTAATGTTATAATTATATAAATCAGTTTAAATCTTTAAAAAAAAGTAGGTATTTGTATTCTAGTTTATTTGTTTTTATTTTTAAGTGTTTACCTGTATCCATACTAATGTACATGCAAGTGTCTGTCTCTTGGTTACCATTTCATTGCGAAACAGCTTTGAAAATAAAGATGAATTGCATTACAAGGACAACATAGACTATTTTATATCTCAAAAATAAAATGAGGGTGGAACGTTTGTGCAGAATATCAGAACGTTAGACTTATTTTTAAAAAGTGTTAAAGATAAGTATTAAGTAGTTATAACCATTATTACTATATTACAAATTTACAAAAAAAATTCAACCAAACTGACAACGTACAGGGATTTTATCTATTCTTAATATGTATGAATGAATGAATTGTATAAAAAAATGTGTCTCTAATTGTATCACTACTATTATAAACAGATAAGAAAGTGACCGGCTGACTCATCGCCGTGAGCCGAAACGACATAAGGCAGAAACACAAAGAAAATTATTTTCTATGACGTCACAAATATATGGAGTATCATATTGCTATACTAATACTAAATTTTGGGGTTGTTTACTACTTGTAATTTAAACACAAAGATATATTTGAATCGTTTCTATCATTTCGTATACCTATATGAAGAAGTATTGTAATGAATACAACTTCCATTATATGAGATGCTTTCATTTCCAGGATGCGGAAATAACTCTTAGACCAGATGGGGCCTATAGAGTACCATCTACGGCAAGTGCTATCATAATACATCGTTGCCATCGAGTACATTTCCTCTCGGACACGGTTCGCGATCTGATTCACTTACGCAACGTGGAAATACAAGATTGTAACCATGTTGTCATCAACGAACGAGCCTTAGCGTGGTCACCGTTCCCCAGAGAACCTGATATGAATCCTGGCTTACGAATTTCGATCAATAATAGTACAGTAAACGAGATCGCGTCACATGCGATTCAAGGACGAGTTGACGATATAATAATAATGAGAAACAGGATCGATAACTTAAAGCCGTTTGCTTTCTCTAATCTCGTTGGTGTTAAGAATGTTGAGTTGATAAACAACGCATTCGACACTATAGGTATACAACCGTTCAAGAAGTTCTCCACATTGAACTTTGTAATGCGTGACGGGGTTGTGGGAACACTGCCTAGTAGGTTTCTCTCTAACGTAGATGTGATCGAGTTATTTCACATAGAATATGTACAGATACAGAATATAAATAGTTTAACGTTTCTTGTCAATTCACCAAAGAGGGTCCTCATCGAAAGTAATGTCATAGGCACATTGGAAGCTGATGGATTTCACATAGTCACAAGAGGGCCCATAACATTTAGAAATAATACCGTGCAAACGTTGGCACGAGGTGCTTTTCTAGGATTCACAGCTGACACGGAGGTCGCGTCAGTTATGGGTCGTCAAGAGCTGTTGATTGATAACAATACCTTGTCAGAATTAGTGCCATCTGCGTTAATGTACAACAGTACGACATTGACAATGCGTATTGGCGATCTCAATTTAAATAAGTCCTGCTCATGTGAATTAGTGGAGGAGTGGCGTGATGTGATGTATGAACCAAGTGGCATAATCACCTGTTGGTATTCATTGGAAAACCAGTACACGTCATTGCGATTATATTCTGACAGTCGGTGTGGTGAATTTAAACAGACATTTTGGATCTACGTAGTTATAGGTATAGTCGTTGTAGCAATAATATCCGTTGTGGTTATAATTTTTATAGTGCGACACGAGAATAAAAAGAAGAAAAATAAAATGCAGATTGTGTTGCCTGACGGCAAAACTTATAGAGAGACTGAAGTCCACATCGTAGTGGAAAGAGCAGAACTGCTCTCGACTGACTTTTAGCTTACGGAACATTCCGCGAGTGATTTTAGTTGCGTGTAGGTTATTCTACCTCAGTGTCACTCCGCTATATTGTGCCAATATAAATTTAGCTTATTATCAGTATTATAACGCATGCGAAAATATTTTGTTACTTCATATTTTGTTACCCATTGCCTTAAATTATTTTTGGAAATTTCTTTAATAAAATTATATGTGCGAGATTGTTTTTTATTTATACCTTTTAATCATAATTCATGAATTGTAAAATTGGAACGTTAATAGGTCCTGTTTTCAAAGAATATATATGTCAAATTCAAGTTAATGTGTTTTGTAACTTTAAATTTTTAAGCATTATTTAAAACAAAATACTGTACTCCTTCTTCATATAAACCGCATTATAGTCAAACGCAAAATTGAGGTACTTTATTATACGTATTTGAGGTATTTCGCATCACGTATAATTAATATTGTAATTACACTACTGTTATCACTTTGTCTTTAATTTTTTTTTATTTGCAAAGCGCAAAGCGATTACGATATTTTTTCTGCAATATTATGCGAATGTTTTTATTGTGCATTTAGTTTATTTTTGTGGGCGTATATGTAAAGGAAACATTTATTATTTGTAATCAAGAATACAAACATTATTACTGTACGAGGATGAACCAGCGACCTTGAAGTCGACGAAGTGCGTTAAAAATAATACCATAACTATAAGCAGAACAATTTAAAGTTCATTAAAAAATCTAAACAGAAAAAAATGTACCTAGAGCTAGTCTAGGTAACCACTTAAGATACCATCAGTTGTCGCAAAAATGGGAGCATGCTTAAATATAACCACTGTATAACTTTTCCTATATAATTATAATAATTTTTAGAATAAAAATAATTTATTGCTGAAAAGTAAATACATTTGTACTTAATTAAATACGGCAAAAAAGACCCGATTCTGCTTATGGAATTGGACCCATTTGTCCCGAGTTTGAACATAACATAAAAAATCGGGTAGCACAACACAACAACTAATCTATAATGGGGTAGTCAGAGGCAGGATCAATTGCGATTGTCTGAATGCGACTCTTCACATACACACGTTTCGCTCGGTATATTTGAATACAAAGAGATGAGGGATGACCCTAGCCGTCTGTTGGATTAATTTGATTTGTTATCGTAATTTTTCGTCAAAGGAGATACAGTCAGAAAATAAATTGATACACAAAATGTTTGGTTTCGGCCAGTGTTGAACTCACAACTAATTATGTAAGGATATAGACCATTATGCTCTCACTGTTTTAAACCAAAAGCACTTATATAATAATAATGTACCATAAAAATGGTAACAGACTGCTTGATATCGTTGTTATATAGTAGAATCTAAAGGAAAATAAAATAAAAAACAAAAAATATTAAAAAATGCTGTATTGAAGTAAAAAATATATATTTAGTACCGCTGTTGCACCTAACATAAACAAAAACAGATTCACAAAACATAAAATCATTAAAATTAGGTCAATAGTATGAGATTAAGCAAACTATAAATAATGTGTTACCGTAACATAAATTTAGGCTAGAATAATGTTATCTTTCATGTATGCTTCGTTGTATGATGTTTCATATCCACATACATTATTTTGGGCCTACCATCATCCCATTTCACCTTCTTAAGGTTTAGTTATTATTTTTCAGTTAAAGTTGAAATCTATTATTAAATCACTCTCGGACAGCTAGTTCAGTTGAGAAGAACTAGGAAGAAACTATACTGGAACATTTTTTTTTATTGTAGAATATATAGCCTGTAGATTCCTAAGTATTCAATTCCAAAGCATACCCATAATCTGTTCATGCGTAAAATAATAAGGGATTATCTCTCAGATAACCTCTCAGACATTCATCTACACATTTCATTTTATTTTTCGTGTTTCTGCACATGAATTTCATATTCATATTCCTGCATGGCTAAAAACAAAAGGTCCCATATTTGGACTTCGTTTCCAAATTACAAGGACCTAGAGCTATAACAATACTATTTCTAGAAATAATAATATATTCCAACTCACCGTATAAGGGGAAGACCTTCCAGAATTTGGTGAATGGAAGGCGGCGACGAGAGTTCCAAGCCTTTGGACAAGAGGAGGTTCTCGCAGCTGTCATGTCCCCACTCTGCACCTCTTCCACCCTCAGCACCTTGACTGGATCCCATCATTGCAAGCATTTGGACCTCAACTATAGTTGCTGGGAATAAATATGAATTTATATATAATTTTTATTTTTACTTTATGTCTTATATAACATAGAGAATATAGGAGCTTGCGGTTCACGAGATGTTAAGTGATTACCGCTGCCTATGAGCACCCCCATCACCATGGGAACTACGAAGTGTGTTGCCGGCCTTTTAAGAAGGAATCATGTCAAAAAGGCTGTTAGCCTACTGATAAGTGATAACTGACGCCCCCCTTCCATCATAACTCTAGGGATACCACTCATTCGTAGTCTAAATGGCAACTAGGACTAAGATACCTCTTATTCTGTAATTTCACCCGAAACACATCATACAAAGTTCCTTGGCTGCTGGAATTTGTGAGACATTTATACCTATGTAAATGAGTCAATAAAGTATGTTTTATATGACACAATTAAATTCTAATTACAAACTGCAAGGCAAAAAGCACTTGCGGTTACACAATACCTACAGTCATTATTAATTTTGATAAGGTCAATTTTATGGACACTCATGGAAAATAACAATTTTATTTCTACCAACAGACGTTGAATTGGATGACGTACCCGAGTTCACGAGTATATTTTGCGAATAAGTTTAAAGTCATATTACGGTTTTTTAGAATTTGTATTAGTACATTTTACTATAGTAGCAGAGGTATAGCCTAATAATATATGTTTATAATATTAATAATAACTCGGGACTATTAACACCGTGCTATCTAAGCCTAAACTAAGCTATAGCTTGAACTATGGATACTAACAACTGAGTCACTTCTTTTTAAATTCTTTTTTTTTAAACATATACATAAGGACTCAGCAATTAATTCCTTATGTATATGTTTACAAAAATAATTAGTTCTAATATTTATATGGCATGAGGATTCGAATCCGAGACCATTGGTGCTAATACAGTGTGCAAAAAACCACAACACCACCGCCCTCAATATTGGCATTCTACACAAGCACACTACACGATATTCGACACCTGCATCGGTATATTCCGGTCACGCGTACAATCATCCGTTGGAAATGATTAGACACAATGATTCATTACGCACTTATTAGGTATATGTAATTTAATTATTTTACAACTCTATATCCCTCTGCAAAATGCTGCAGCACGCTGTTGTTTTGATAATGAACTATATTTATAATTCAGCGGGTTATAAATATAATTTAGTATCAAAACAGCAGCGGGGTTGCGAATCTTGCAATAAACATAACACTTATAAGATTACCAGACACATAATAACAATAGCAGACTTCTATTTTACACTAGCTGTGCCCGCGGTATCACCCGCATGCTTTGTGTTATTCCGACGTATAAGCTATATCGCCGAAAAGTATCATCAAATGCCGTTCAGTAGTTTTTCACGAAAGACTAACAGTCATCTATCCATACTCACGAACTCTCGCGTTTACAAGTAATAAGAATAGCGGGATTATTTATAATTTAATTTTATATATTTTAAAGTTTATGAATAGACGTAGAAAAAGGACTATACGCTTGTGCCATCGTACTACATAGAATTATATTTATTGATCAGGGTATTTTCGATGCATTTATAATATGTATGTATTTTCAAAATGAAATGTATTTAAGTTCTACTAACTCAAGCCAGGCTTAGTTTGGGACTAGATGTCGCTGTATGAATTATCCTGGGTTTTAATTATTATATTATGTCCATTAATAAGGTCGCCTTATAGTAACTATGCATGTGTCCTTTGATATATTGTATGTGCTTCTTCTTTACTGTATGTTGCAAATAAAGTATATTCTATATATCTATAATGTTTGTGATTTATGTTGTTCACAACATAAATCACAAACATTAGACAGATGGTGGATGCCTTCGTTGGTCTAGCGGTTTATCACACCGCCTAACTTGGGATAGTCGCGTGTACGATTCCGGTGCTACCATTAGTATACATTAGTAGGATTATAAGTATTGATCTGGACATCTTCTTTCTTCTTCTTTTAAGCATTTTAAGAGTAGTCAAGTATCGATAACTCAAGTCAGTTTTCGTTTGGTACTAGATGGCGCTGTGTGAATTGTCCTGAGGTTTTATTATTATTATATTCATAAATGTTTTTGATATGTATGTATGTAGGTGTTTTCTTACAGAACGACAAGGGTGGTATTTCAAGGTCCGGTGCGAGTAGACGTGATGCACACGCAGATCCAGCATATACCAATTCCATTTCTAACAGCGACAGTCCCTGGCGTCGCGACGTGAAAGCACAATCCGGGTATCCAATACAGAGACAACGGAAGCCAAATCGGTTCTCCTCACTAGATAATATTAAAATATTTATTAAAATATATTTAAATTATTTTTTCAAATACCTAGTTTTCTCTTTTCAAAAGCATCTCAACAACAAACTTCTTACTGACTATTTTATTACTAGACAGAATATTTTATTTTAACTGCAATATATGTTGTCATTAAATATTTTATTGACCAAATAAGACATTGAACAAAAGGCGGACTTAATGCTAGAAGCATTTTCTGTTAATCAATCTTTGGAATAAACAGTAATTCACGAAGAATTAAGTAAATGAAGATAATAACAAAATAATAAATATGTAATTAATAATCAATAAATTTAATTAAAAATACTTAGTATTATGTCTATGGCCGAATAATAAAATGATAACATAACCAACTTACCTATTTGACTTATTGTATTCATTGAGATAGTCAGAAGCAGTCTCTAAAGAGAATATGACTTCGCGACCTGGTACAATTATAGCCTTTTTTGGCCATTCCGCAGCTCTAAAAACATATAATTTAATAATATAACTAGTCTCTTATATAAACTAAACAAAGTAATTATGTTTTCCATTGTACTTATTAAACGACTTAAATGATAAACGGCAGTGAAGAGAGTGCTCTGCGTTGCTTTCTACATCGTCTCGTGTGTAGAAAAATCGGACCCAATTTCAGATCAGTATATTTTGCTCCTTATTTCAGTGTCGTGTGTAGACAATCTTACAGTACATATACACACAAAGGTATATGTTTTGAATGTCCTAGAGATTATAGAGACAAGCAGTATAATATGTTACGGTATATATAGAGGTATATCGTTTAATTTGATTCCATAGCTGTTATATAACTTAATAAATGTACAAAAAACAATTTATTTGACTGTAAGCAATTGTTATTTCCATTTCTTGTACATGTTTGTATCTTCTTGTATTGCCATTCTAAAACAATAAAGTGTGTTCCCACTTTAACCAGTAATTTGACTACCATATATCTCTTACCAATATCCTTAGATATCATCTCATACCCTTAGACAAGTGTTAGAAAGCGTTTTGTTTCGCGACAGAAATAAGAGAGACAGAAATTACGTAGACGACTCTATGCAAAGTTGGGGAAGGGGATTGTTAGTAATGTGGACCAATAATCCTGCTAGCAATGTACCATGTGAGATTGACCTCCACACGGTTCCCCCTGAACACCATTCTGATGAAATCCTGGTGAATTTGCCACGATGAGCTAACTGATCTGACCTCATTTGCACCGTATCATTGTCCACTGGTGCACGGCGCACCATTCCATTGTCATCCATTAAAAAATAGACTCTATGCAAAGTCCGGTTAAGGAAGCAAAATAGTACTCACACGTTGGATAATTTTGGCGTGACATTAATATAAGTGCGGTTGTAGTGCATGCAGGGCGTCTCCGTCTCGCCCTCGTCCAGTACTTCGTCTGCACGACTATCCTCCGATGGCAGTTGTATCAGACGCTATGACATATAATTCGTTGTAACCAGGCCTTTACCACTAACCGTAAAATGAAATTAGACTTCCACTTCCACTGAGAATGCATATTCTCAAAAATGTAATAAATAGTTTATAGTTAGAATTCTATCTAGTAGTAAACATAAGTGCAAGACTATATTAATAAACAGTAATCACAAATGTTATCACATCCGGTTTTTGACAGTAGTGAAGAACGCAAGATGGCGCCCTATCGACGATGACTCGGACAAAAAGGGCATTATACTAGCAGCCCGCGAACGGAACGGACGTGTTGTGAACAGGTTTCTAATATAAATATCTATGGATATATCCCACAGTCATAAACTTAGCTTTTTTTTGTAAATATATATATGTACATATATAATTACGTTCACCAGTAAAGAGGGTTCTTTACTGTCCCCTATTATACAGATATCACATTTATTTCATAAAATGTTGTAGATCAGTCACCATTTTGTATAAATAGTTTTCAAAGAGACATATAGCTTGATCATTATAATACTATCATATATTTAAACTATACTAATATAGGAATGTTTATGTTGTGCAGGTATTAAATAAAATCGAAATATTAGTTACATTTTTACGGGTACAATATGTGCATCAAAATTATGTACTCCGCCACAGGACATACGATAATCATGAGCTGCATTTTGGTTTCTTTCTCGATCCGTAAGAAATCAAACTAAATTGATTGGAGGACGAATACTTAAACTATTGTTAAAAAAAATTATATGTGCGTCCAATTAAAATGCATTAGATTGGGATATTGTAATAAGCATAACTTACCTTGCGGAATGGCGGTTCCAATACCCGCATATCATACGAGCTCTGGCATCTGGGTTTGGGCACACCGGCCACGGCATATATTGTGAGTGTATCCTCGGGCTGAGCAGTCACACTACGCGGATCCATCTCTAGGACTACCCAAGACACGTTGACAGGAAACAGGACTCTATTCATGTAAGAGTAAAGTCTATGTTGTAACATGTGTAATATGTGCTACAATTGTCGTATTCATAATTCTTACAGTAAGAGTTATATTAGTTTTATTTATTGTGAAATTTGTATTATTTGATTTGGACCAAATAAAACCAATAATTTAAATTCAGTTTACAACATTTCGTTTTTTACTTTTGGTAAGTCACCGAAATGCTGTCATTGGGTTTCTTTAGAAATGTGCTGTTGATAAATATATTGGATTGAAAACTGTTAGTTTTCTAATAAATAAGTAATAAAGTGATGAAATGTTAAAATCGTATTATTTTCACAATACAGGAAGAGGTTAGAGTAAAAATATGTAAACCAGAGGCTATTTCTCGAATTTATCATACTTGTCTATATTATTTAAGTCTACTTGCCTCATGTTGGAGACGGTAGCTTGCTTATATGGATGTTCACTCTCGATCCACATATAGAAAGGTTCGGCGAGGAACCCTAAATCTTCAACGGCCGGTACAGTTATATTTATAGCAGCTACATGCGGGAGTATATTACGAATGCTCTCCAGCAGTTTTACTACGCTCTGAAAAAATGTACTAAACTGTATTAATAATTTGCTAAAATTGGTTGGTACAGAGGACCTACAAATATTGCTTTCTTTTATTTAATAAACAAAAATATGATACTTTATATAATACCTCAAACATTGGGAAACCACTCATAAACGATACTTCCTTCTCTATTTCAAATAGGCTTATACGAAATTTGATAATGATTAGAACTGTTAACAGTTTAGCCGTTAAAGCGCTAAGTTCAAAACAAATTTAAATGAAATATTTTTATTCTTATAAGTCTACAGCCAGTTCGAAATGTAGTAAAATGACTATAAAATATATTCTAGTAGATATTATTATTGTAACCACATGTGATCGTCGCATGTGGTTACAATAATTAATGTATGAAATTTCAAATAAAAAGTTATATAAACAGTTTATCAATTTAAATCGTAGTCTCTTATCTACAATATATTTGTATTTTTTAACAAATCAACTTTGAAATCTTCCAAAAAGTTCAGGAATGATTTCAAAAGAATTTTCACCATTCATATGCTACACTACTGTTGAGTAATGTAGCCTAAATTTATTATTAGAAATAATTAGGGATGAACCCCACACATTGGAGCCGGTCAGAATTTTTCTATTCTAATTTTGTAGTATCGCCCTGTGTTTCTATATCACTAGATTATATAAAGAAAACCAACCTTAGAGTCATTCAACTCTTCAAGATTGGCCAGTGTATAAGGGATAAGCGTATTGACCACCGAAGAAAAATTCAACTCGAATGAATTGCGTCGCAAATCCTCCACTGTTACTTCGTTCCGCAGAGAGCGGAAGAGATCCGCACTTCGCTCCAAGATATCTGAAGCGACGCGTAGTGTTATAGCACGAAGAGCCGTAATCTGAGTATCAGGACTGTCCAGTACATTTTGACTCTTTGATGTCCTGTTATTAAAAACGAAAATAGAGGAATTTATTAATTCATCATTCATTATTAGTACATAAACATGATATTGTCAATTACAAAATACAGTATATATGTAAACTACTTACCCATAATAAATAAAAGCGGGTATTTGTCCTCTAGCCAGTGTAGTCCCATTGAAGCTCAAGGAACATGAGAAAAATTTAAAAGTGGTTCCATCAGGGCCCATCACTGAAGGCAACCCGCAATCGCCATTAGCCGTTCGCCCACCGTGATTGCACAGTCTCAAGGCATAACGAAGATCCTCCTATAATATGTATAAAGGTCACTTATGTCACAAAGGGTAGGAGTAATAATTAAAAATAGCATGTGTTTTTGTATATTTACATAGGTAATAAACAAGGAGAGAAAAATAGGCGAGCACGGAAATATTTGAAGGATTGTCAAGATGTTCCTTGTTGTAAGTACGTATGTATGCTAATCTCAAAAACGATTTAAACGAATTGAATGTGGTATCTACTTTTATTTAACTAGCTGGGCTCGCGGTTTCACCCGCGTTAAATTTCAATATATATATTTCAATAAAAAATATAGCCTATGAGTTATTCTGACGTAAGCTATATTACTGTAAAGCATCGTCAAAATCCGTTCAGTAGTTTTTGCGTGAAAGAGTAACAAACATCCATACTTACAAACTTTATAATATTATTAAGATAGCAAACTTTCTGTAACATTAATGTATTACTTCAATCTATTCACTAATAAGGAAGTTAACCTATACTTATTCAGAATACCACACATACAGTCGAATGCTATGTTATTGATAAATATAATAACAAAGATAGTAAGACAAATGGGTGACTAACCTTTAGACAAATGGGCCGATCAAACTTTATCTGCACCATGTCGTGTTGACAATCTGATGATGTGAAAGTTCCACGTACCATTTCTACGCTCACCCAACAGTGGCCCGGATCTGTCTCCTCCCCCGTAGCTCGGAGCTGCAGCAACAACAAAATTACTTGTAATGAAATAGTGACGTTTTCATTTGTAATAAAGGAAATGTAAAAATAATTAAAAAATAACATTATTACTTATCTAGAGTAAACATAAGAAAATAATGTACAAAATAAAGTCCGCAACGCCATCTAGCGAGTAATGTACAAAGTAAATTACCTTTTAATATAATTTCACAAACTAGAACATGTTCACACGACATGGACTTTAAAGTTATAATGCATAAGGTCTATTTTTATGAAACATCATTTTTGTTTATAAATTTCCTGTTCCTTAAGCATCCTTGGAACGGCAACTTAACTGTTCATAATACAACCACCTTGACCATTTTAGAAGCTTCCAACTAGGAGAAAATTTGTCATTTTGACCTGTCTTTTTAATGGATTGATGATAATGGTATGGTTCACCCGCCTGCGCTATCGGTTAACGGTGGCAGAGCACCAGTGAAGGATGATAAGATGAGCATGAGGTCAGGTCAGTAAGCCCATCGTATTAAATTCAACAGGAATTCATCACGATGGTTTCCAGAGGCACTTTGATGTTTATATAAAAATGATCACTCACGCGTAAATCCTGGAGCAGTTCCAATGAATACTCGTAGCTGCCGAGCCCGCTAAAGACGCATGCGCCAACTAGCATCACACCGGGTCGGTCAACAGTAAAGCAGATAGCATCAGGGCTACCATTCCCAGTATTCCACGACCGGGATTGGTTCACACGCATGAACCTCGAAGGAGTAACTAAATGTTTTATAGTACTCGAATCTTGATCTTCCTATAAAGAGAGTGGGGGATTTACACACAAGTAAGATAAATAAAACGTTTATTGGGAATAAATTTTAATGTAAACATCAGAAACGTAGGTATTTAATATAAAATTGTCTCTATTTACAAACAGAGAAATGCCTATATTATTTTACTTTATATATTATTACACAAGTATGATAACATGTCATAATATTAATGACAACTGATTATACCAAATCTGATAAACAACTAGTACCTAGAATGACTACGATATCACCAAGTAATATGCTTTCATGATGTAATTCAGTTACAAGTTACACTGATTTTCTTGGGTCTGATGATTGTGTACCCCACCGATCGATACCCCATCCAAACGGGGATAGGAATTACGACGGCCTGAGCCGGGGTTAGAAGAAGGACCCCTAGCGGTGCCCTCAGACTACAGTCGTATCCGTCATTCGGCAGTTGGCCTTCAGCCGCTCCATAAATCCTTCCGTGAGTTTGAAGTGTCATCTACACTCGCCCCCTATCGTCCGGAGAAGCTGTAAAGGCCAGCTCTGACCAACAGCATTAGAGTAGTCCGAAAAAAAAAATATCACAAAGAATTATTACAAACAAATACAAAGAAATAAATTGAAGTACGTAACACTTTATGATGTATTCGAATACGTCCATTTTTCGTGTATTTACATCCAAAAGATAATGATTTCAAATCTGACGATACAAAAAAAATCTGACATATTTCTGACTGACTCTCCGGTAAAGAAAACACCAACTACCGAGATGTCTCTTCCTACTCCATTCGGTCATGACAGTAAGTTATTATTGTAGAAGACGGACGGACTAGATTCAATAATAAAAAAACTGTTAGTATATCTTGCTATTGATACCTACATCTATTATATATCTATATCAACAGTCGTAGATTTTTAAAACTTACACGTATGTTTGTAGCATTATAAGCTAATTCAGCTATAATCCTGGCAAGAAGTTTGCAACTATAGTCAGATAGTCTTCTATACTTGTCGTACTCGCCGTGGTCATGAGTCTTTGTGCATGGACGCGTCTTCATATTGTCTTTGATTGGTGATATAACAATATCTAGTAATTTTGATACCGCGTCGAACAAGTGCCAATTGGTATGAGTAGATTTGCTTTCAGTAGATTCCGGTGGCTAAAATTGCATTAAATAAAACATTAAAACAATGTACATATACTGATAACTCGTAACTTCAAATTAAAGAATTTATAAGCATTATAGATAAGCAATTTTTGTAAAATGCTGGAACAGTCTTCCATTCGACAGAAATGTTTAATTATTGTCACCTTCCTTTAAACAGCTATAGTTGTTGTAAGCAGTTTATATTAGCGACTTTTGCTATTTAGATAAAATCCAACGTCCTTCCTGGTGATACAATTTATGTTTATGTCCATTTTTATTGTAATCCATATAAGAGAAATGGCAATAAAATAGACACGCTTTCATAGTTACAATATTATAAGGTATGGATTACTAGCTATTACCCTTTTGATTTTGATGAAATAAAACAACAACCTATACTCGTCCTGTGACATAATGTCTCTTAAAGTACAAAAAAATAATCAGATCAGTCTTTTTATTGTGTATCTTATAAGAAAGCAGACAGACAGACACACTTTCACGATTATATCAATATGGATATGCCAAATTTAATCTGAAACATCCAGTACTCTGTACTCTTTTGTTAGAAAATATTTTGATATGTTAGGTCTGTACTTCATAATGTAACTTGTGTTTATTAGTATATATTATTATTAGTGTCTTTAGTTTTATTATTCAGTTATGCACTTTGTTATATACACTGATGTCACTGCAAATCAGCGACGTCTTCGATGCCATGAAGCTACGTGGAACCCTTTTGTAACTTAATAATTGTATTTCTATTGCATTTCATTTCATATATATTCTCATTAATTTTATAAAGCATTGTTTCTTTGCTTCTTACAAAGACATGTAGAACTTTTTGAGTGCTAACTACCAAACAGCATACATCATAAACAATAGACATACATATATAAGTAATAAGTTACAAAATAAGTAAGTCGAACGATTGGAGCAGACCAAGCACAATCAGAACATATACAGATTACATTCACAAGTAAGATGGATGAGCCAGATAATATTTCAGAAAGCGTCATAATCATAATTACAATACTCAACAATATACGGAAGGATTTTTTGGATTTACCTTTTAATAAATTTTATTACCAGTTTTATATTCTATTACAAACCTTTTGAGCATCCTTACGATGTGTTCTAGGGGGGATAGGAGGAGGTTTCTGGGCGTGCGACGAGCGGGGTACTGTGGCTGACTTAGAAGGCATTTCTTTCAGAACCTTATTAAAACAAATTGTCTACTTTAAAAAAATTTTGATCTTCTTAAATTCAATTTTGAGAGGCCAGATTTACTCACAACATTGTGAGTATGTACAAATAGACAATTCTTTTTAGCACCACATGACTTGCGCAGTAGTCAATTTGTGGATAAAAATTGTTACTGCGCACATCACGCGCTACTAAAACATTACTACTTTTATCAGTTTTCATACCGTATAACTTTTTTTACCCGTCGGAGAAAATTAAGGCATATACGCTATATATTTTTTTTTTATATTAGTATTATAAAATTATAATTACCCACAATTACAATTAGTATTAAGCGTTTAAATTTTATTTGATCCTTAATATATATTATATGCTTAATAATAGTTCAAGGTTCGAAATTGTTGTGGCATACGTATGTGCATATGAGTAAACCAATCACGCAGGGCAACTATGGATCAAAGAGATAATGGAAAATGTAAAATTTACTCGTTAGTTATAAAATATAATAATGAAAATTAAAATTATATTAAAACAAGTAATATTTATTATTTTAAGATTTTTTTATAATCATATAGTTTTCAACAAACGTTGTAAGTAACAAAAGTTTAAATATTTTGTTATCTCTCTTATTAGCTTCGAGTATCTATTATGCCAGATTTTCTTTCCACAAGGTAAATAAAGTCATCTGGTATTCTCGTGCATTTTCTTAATATAGTTTTTTTATATCTCAGAGACAAATTTGACATTACATGTGTTGCCATCTATTGGCAATTCTTTTAATGTTGCGGTATTATAGGAAATTAATATGAATTATATCGCTTCATCCAAATAATATGTGTGTGTTCATTTGACACGCATTAACATAAAATCTATAAATTATAGGTATTAATAAATAATTGTTGTTTTGATACAACTATACTATATAATTTGATATATTTTTATTATATATAACAAAGAAGTAATTGCCTTTATTATAAAACAAATGAAGTATGGTGTCACATTTAATAAAACATACACCTATTTGAAATATTTAGGTGTGTGTCAAAGAAAAAAATAATAGGTATGTAGCTTAATACCATAAGATATTATATGTACGGTACGGTATGTACGTGAAACTACGTTAATATTGAAAATATGTTATGGAAACTAAGTAGAAAGCTTTAAAACTAATCGTCTCAAATAAGAAACTACGATTCAACAAATCAGTATAGCAGGTACAGCACTACCCCGCTGCAACCGGTAACTGACATTAGATGATGAAAATTTGACATTCACACCTGTCAATTTAGTCTCCGAGGTTAGAAAACAGACTATAAGTAGATATATAACCAATCAGTTAGTACGTATATATATATCTCACAACGTTACACACATACAGTCACTAAGCATAACATATAAAAGAAGTAGCCTACAACAGTTAACAGACAAGTGGTAGCCATAACAATATTTTTTAAATCTTTATATAACATAAAAAAACATGTAATAAATAATACAAACCAACATACATACATATATACTTGATAGAAATCTGTATATTAGGCATAGTACAAACCACGCAGTACAGAAAGATGAACCAGTGAGTTAAACACTCAGTCAGAACTTTATGTAATGTCATCACTCTTTATACATTAGTACCCAGAAATGGCAACAATTGGGAACTACTATGGACGTCACAATTGCTGTCTTTATCCTATATACACACGCTCTTTCACGGGCGTATCGGCTTTCACACAGGAAAGAATTTGCATGTAAAGGACGAAAAAGAGAACGACAACGAATTCTTTCTCATTTACTTTGTGTATTGTTACACTCTTTCCTATATTAATACATACACGTGGAAAATAGCGAACGTGTAAAAACAACTATTGCGCCTCGAATCTTCCGTGATATTATTTATGTATACCGACTTTTTTTTTCATTGTGATGTTTGGGCTATTTTCAGGTATTTGGACCTGTAACACTGCGACTTACATAGATCTATTGTGTTCGCCGTTTTTCAGAGTTCGCTACCTAAACCCATCAGGGACAAAAATTGAAGGATATTCTTATGAGCGATGGTTTTTATCTCCTCAGGATAGAGTGTAAACTTTCCAAATGAGATATTACGTTTCAAAGGAAACTACGGTTATAACTTCCATCGATTGAACCATCAGCTTGTTTACAATTCCGGTTACAGAAAAAACGCTACATAAAGTAGCAAGAAACCCTTACTTTTAAACCATACTATACCTTGCTGTCGGGACGCCTGTTCTCGCTAAGCGTCATGTGGTTCTGAGTTATTGGCAACACATATTGCAGTACATCGCGTAGACTTCGGGACGCACACATAGCAGCACAGATTGATGCCAACTCCCGCATATGCGTCACTGGCACCACGCCATCCTGACAGATATTAAGAGAAATCATACCGAAATTTCATTAACTTTAAATAATTCTTAACATAATTATTCCTGTCAGACATTAAAATTTTTTGGAATATATCTATCCGCTTATATTTTTACAGGCATAAAATCCAATACACTCATTAATATCTGACAAAATTTGTTTTCTGTTACAACGTGTAATCTGTGACAGATTTCACTATTATAGCCATGAAATGAGAAAACTTTACAATTTGTATTACAATTGATATACTATTAGAAGCGATTCTCATAAGACCAAGTTTATCATATCAAATCAAATCATAATCATATTGTATACATTATTTTTTAAAATATGTTACCTTTCAGTTTATTTATATTTTAATACATAATTTATTTATATAATAATACAAAGGTTAATACATATTGCGGACATAACACTTTAATATACATAGAAAACACCAATAAAAACAATCTTACTCGTGAACACAACTGTGACATCGTATTAGAAATCAAACCCGCAACCTTTGAAAGCAAGACGGTGTTTCAAACCAGTAGACAATAAAAGTGGGCGGATTTTGATTCAACTATATTAGTCAAAATATTAGACTGCAGTTTATAATTATAGGCGTGGACTATAACTTTATTTAGGCCGTCAGAATAATTAGTACGACACAAATTACATTATAAAAATTGAAAACTGAAAATGTAATTTATTCAGTGAACACTTATAATAGTAAATAGTAGTAATACTTAATATATATTTTTATATTACTTATAATGAATACCTTGACGTGGAACAGCAAAGAGCAGAGATGGTTCCATTTGAGCATCGGTGTAGGGAAGAACGCGTGGAAGCAAGCCGTGATTGTGTCATGGGCCTCGTATATAATTGAATGGATCATATCAAGAGCAAACTGTACGAAGCAAGCCCTATTCTTCCCTGGTCTGCGAGGTAACATTGAACATACAGGGGTCGCTTCAGCCATGACTTCTTGTATAAAAGTCCTCGTTTCAGCTATGGCATCATAATATGACATATACTCTTGGGAATTTCTTTTCTTGTTGTGCTGCGGATGAATCTCTATGATGTAACACCTCACGAGTCTCAAACAGGCTTTGATCACATACTCTAATGTCTTTTGATATTTCATCAATGTCAGCTTCACTTCCGTGATAGGTATTTGTCCGTTAGTATCCAATAATACTTCCTTGAACATTTTCCAAGCCCATTGCGTAATAGATAATAGTGATTTGAAGCAGGAAACGGTGACTTTACGTGATACATTTTTGGATAATGAAATTATGGGTTCACCTAGATCTACACAGCGGATGGTGACTGTATGATCAGGGCTGACAGTATTGTATAGAAGGCATGGAATTTGTCCAGCGTTAACGTCAGTACCATTGTTGGATTTCTTGGAAGTTTTAAAGTGGAATCCAACTTCGTCGTTGATGACCATGGACTGTCCGGAAGACCCACAGTCTGATGAGGGGCCGTTGATGCAGGCCCAAGCCACATACCATCTATTAGCCTGTGGGGTAAAGTATTCGCACATGTTCATCATCATAATAAGTCATTATCGTCCCAATGAATATGCTACCCATCTTCAATAGAGAAAAAAATTGCATACTCCTAAGCGACTAGGCATGTGGAAATATATAGAACTTCAAATTCCTATTACTAGTAGAATTGATCAGTATCCTATTATTAAAAAAGTGGCAATACCTTGTGTGGTCAGTCACTTAAAGTGAAAAATATAAATATAATTTCCCAGATTACCGCATATACAGAATACTTACTGTTTATATTTATATTTTCATAATATAATATAATAACTAGTGAAAACATTATATATATCGTAATCTCTCTACGTCTATCTTGGTATCGGCCTATATACATTTTATTTCTCTAGTGTACAATGAGTATATATGTATCTCTATAGTGTACTCACAGCGATAGGAATCGGCACGTCGAACAGTACTGGAAATTTATCCCTGGGTGCACATTCGTACATGACTTCATCAGTCTCGGCTAACATCTCGCCGTCGCCCTCTTGATCGCCCCCCTCGTTGCCGATATCGAACAACTTTATCTTGGCTGAGTAGTCGCCTCGTCCGCCAAATAGGCCGTATCCACCTATTTTACATTAATACCTCATTATACGTAAATAAACTAGATTTAGCTCCACCCAACTTTGTAATACATATGTGGTTTGTTAAACGTACTCATTTTACCGAAGCAGTACAGCCGTCAAACAGCTTTCTTTACAAGATGTGTATTGCTTGTAGGTTAAGATCACAGAATAATTAAGATTATTGATGATCTTAATCCTGAATAGCTACCTGTGAGTGGTATCACGGGCAGCATATGATAACGACTAGTAAATGGTGCTGTGCATGTGTATAAGCGACGGTTATCATTTACCACTAGGTAGGCAGTCAGTTTGTTTGTCATTTCAACTATATAAAGAAATGGCGATAAAAATTAATGACGACGTACTGGAACAAGGTGTTTGCACAAACTACTCAAAAAATATACATGAAAAATTAAAATGCTAACTATAAATATAACATACGTACCAAGTAATATATCAGTATCGCACATAAAGCGAATAGCTTCTATAGAATGTCCCGAGTAGCCCCAACCTCCGCCGTGACTCTCGAAGCGACTTATGGTTTGAAAGTCTTCCTTGATGGGAGCTACTGGAGTAGCAGTGCGGTCACGTTTTATATCCATTATGTTTGCTCTATATTAAAGCAATACAACATTTATAAGTATAATCAAATAATATGTGATTACACTTACCATAAATATTAGTTATTATCAACTAACTACCCTATATTTCAGAGGTTTTATTGTTAAGGTTTTGTATTTAATACTATACAAATATATACTCTACTTTAATTTTAGTAGTAATCAACAAATATCATATATCAAAACTTTATTCACTTGTTCCTTTGTATTTTATGCACTGCTCGATCATTCATTCCATTCTAATGACACTTCGTAAAAATTGTGAAATATTAGGTAGAGGGACATAGAACAACCAACTCACAGTAGGTTGTCCACGTTGAGTACTGACATATACAACTTAAATCCTATTATGCTGAGACGAGTATTAACCTAAACCAATACATCATAATACCATTTACCTTGTACTATGAGTCTGGGTGAGAGAATCCAAACATCCTAATAAATGCAAAGCCGCATGCAGTCTCGTCACAGTTTGTCCCGGAACTACTGGTATAGCTAGTCCCGGATCTAGCACGTAACTATTTGACAGAATCAGATCACTTCGAATCCTATCTTCATTAGTAGACTTTAGATCGTAGGTTTCCAAATTCTTAAAGTCTTCCAATCTCCTCATTGGGCCGTAATTGGGGTACTCATCCTCGGCATCCAAGTGGTATGAGTTCCGATTATTTGTGCAGCACCGTTGCACCCTGTTCGGATCGTAGGTAAGGATGTTATAGCACTTTATCATTTTTTGGAAAGGGTGATAGCACCACAAAACATCGTATAACGGGTCGAGGCAAGTGAGGGAGTTCTCGAAGTCAGCTTGCTCCCCACCGCTCCATGGAAAAACGCTGCCATCAGATTTATTCACTGTTATGCATCTAAAATTGTGTTCGGGGCGATTTGGAAGGATCACTGAAATTATTGAAATATTTATTATTAATTCAATGCCATAAAAATAACACAAAAGATGACAACATGATAATGACAACATTATAATTATAATAAAGCAAATATATGCAAAAACTTCCTTAATATCAGTTATCAGTCTTGCGTGTGAGGATGACAAAAATATAAAATGCAATAAGCCAACATTAAAAACTTGAACACTTTCTAAAAAGTCTCTGCCCTGTTTCATCTATTGTTACCGTCATGAATATTGATTCGTTAGTTGAGTTTCGGTTTAAGGTTGAGACATTGTTCTTAAATATCTGTTGTGCGGATCGCGATTGTTACCATTTCAGATACATAAAACAGATCAATTATATATTGAACCTCTTATTTTATAAGACATAAATAAATTATTTACATATCGCATTGTGGTTGGATGTGATCGTTGAAGTGAAAATATATTCAGGCTTGAGTACGGACTGCGTCACTTGAACAAAGGTCTGGTCTCCAGACGCAGAGATGGAACTCGCTATAGATGTATACTCAGGGCCCAGGCGAGGTATTCGGCGTGGTGCACCGTGCCATACCGGATCACTGGTCGCTTCAGTTCTGAAGAAATCTTCCACAGGCGGACGACCGAGTGCGCCTTTCTGTTAAGAAAAAAACATTTTTAGTATGCTAACACTACACCTCCTGATCAGAGTGGTAATAGGCTATTTTATCTTTTAAGTATATTTTAGGGAGTAGGTATAGATAATACTTATAGAATATTTATACTACTTACTATATTCCTACAAAATTCAAAGGTTATGGAGTCTGTAGTCTATATATACATATATGTATAGTCGGAAAAGGTATAATAAGCAACGAATAATTTTTGTTCCATAACTCTCTCTGGAACCATATAATTTTTGGGTTCAAAAGTTGATATAAAATACAATAACAACGCAGAACACAACCCTAACATCACTTTTTATAAGTCCTATCATATCAACAGGAAAATATGTAAGGAAATTTACTGTTTTATCAATGCAAATGAGACTTTTTTTACGCCTCTTACTTACCATTCCAGTAATCAAGGACATTGGTTGTTTCGATTGAATATCAAAGAATAGTGTTGGCTATTGTTTGTAAATAATACATGTTTATTATTGTACGAAGTAAAATAAATACTTTCAGAAATAATATCATGCGAGATAAATTAGTTATTACAATATAATAGTGTCAGGGGCTTAATATATATATACCATATATTATATATATATATATATATCTACAATATGCAGCACATACCTGAAAGCATCCGAAAGTGTAAACCGTCCCGTCGCCAGTAAGCAACACGGTATGGTTACTCCCAGCTGCAACTGCTACACATTTAGGTACACGAACCCTCACGACCCTATGGTGAGGATGAATATCTCCTACTCCCAGCTGACCGTACTGATTTGATCCGAACGTTAGAATATCACCTGTGATATAAAATATACACATATACGATTTTATATAGTTTTTTATAGTGTTTATAATCTTACTAATATTATAAATGTGAAAGTATGTAAGTATGGATGTTTATTACTCTCTCACGAAAAAACTACTGAACGGATTTTGTTGAAACTTTACAGTAATATACCTTATACATCAGAATAACATATAGGCTATAAATTTTACGCGGCTGAAATCGCGAGGACCGCTAGTATTAGATAAATAAACTGAATACATTTAAGCAAAAAATAGTATGCAACCTAATTTAACCTGGCGTTTACTCACCATTTTCTGTAAGCAATACACTGTGGTGCAAGCCACATGCCACTGACTTGACACGCTGTCCGCCTGGTATAGGGACGCGGGCTGGCGGCAAACAACTGACTTTTACACTCGGGTCTTTCTCTACTTCCATGCTTACTGGACAATCAGGATGATGAAGTTTTGTTTTGCCCTTATCTGAAACAAAACCATAAGAATAAATCAGATATCTCTATAGAATATATTACATAAAGAAATCAAAATAACTTTATTCATGTAGGTCTATTACAGACTAAAGTAAATAATGCAAATGTATACAGCATGTACCATAGATTCTTTTGGTGGTCTTCTATTATATAAATATGGAATTAACATTACAAATCTAATGTATTTAAATTTACTTAAATAGACGTCAAATAGAACTAATGCTGTGTATATATGGAACTTAAAGACAACGGCAATCAATAATATCTAAGTATACACGCTTTTGATTAAATTGTTTTGTTCCTCACCAGGTTTGTCATCAGATCTAGAAGAACCGTCAGCATCATCATCAAGGTCAGTGACCGTCCGTTCTGAGCGACTAGTAGTTGGTTGCGCTTCAACACAACGACGACAAACGCCACATGTGCTACATCCACTGTCACCTTCACCGCAACCGCAATTCCTTTGGACCATACAATATTGATACGTGAAGCATAACCTTTGTACCCCTCTTTATGAAAATTAAAAAGTTGTAAAGTATGATATTTGGTGATATAAAGGTTTATATAAAGAAATAGTGTACAAAGGTATAAGGTAGGTTTTTTACTATAATCCTTAAAAATTGAACTAATTAATAATAAAAAACAATATACTTGCTACGATTCGTTTGACTGACATACATACACAAATACATCCGCCAAAGTTGGTGTCAATACGACATAAAAATAAGACTTGGAAGACTGACTGTCTGGTCATCTGCATTCCCCTAGGGAAGTGAAGGCGAACCCCTTTGCCCCGGTATCGACTCCGGGGGCAACAACCTCCGGGTCGAAGCTTCTTAGGGCGAGTATAATATTAAGAACAACATAACCTAAGTTACTATACTTGGGGAGAATTGTTTTTTCATCATTTTTTATTTTTTTTAATTTATTTTTTATTTTGTACCTCCTAGTATGACCCTTACAAATACTCTGAAGCTACTTGGTTTCCTGGTGCTCGACCCTAAAGTGGGGGCATAGCAGATGGCTAACGCAGGGCGTGAGGGGAGGTTGAAAGGAAAAGGAAATAGGAGAGGAAGAAAGGGAAAGGGCGGGGTGAGCCCACGTGGTAGAACTAGAATGTCACCGATCCCTAGGAACTCAGCAAATTTGGAAGAAATAAAAGATGTCTTCAGACTATCGAGTATAAATAGAGAAGATGTCGACTACTAATTTATATAAAAATAATCTAAATACAATGATGATTTTATTGTTGAAAACTTATTTTAAATATTAACAATAGCATAACGGTATATGTAGTTACAGTTCATCATATACAAAAATATAAATTTATATATTTTTATTTTGGCACAAGAAACTCTTTCCACTTACCACTTTTAGTTAACTGGGTTGTTATAAGGTAGTTCATATAAGTTATAACAGAAGCAAGTAGGAACATTATAAATGATTCTTTTTATTAACCAAAATATAAAAATCATTAGTAAACATTTTTATTTAAGGTTTTATGTGAAAATAAAGTGCTAAATAGCAAGAATTAATAGTAAAGAAAATATTAAGAGTTCCCGTTCGCTATGTTTTGTCTCGTTTTGGCTCTCTCCCTAGATCCATTTCTGTCATTAGCCTCATTATTTCTCTATCTCCAAGGTTCTGTTTTAATTACTTGTACAGTATTACTCACTCTCCGGCGATCCTGTCTGGTAGATGCGACAGGTGACAAGAGTCAGAGAATCCGGTGCACTCGAGACATATGACGCAGATGCGACAATATTCGGTAACCCAGGTATGTGTAGTACACAAATTGACCTCCTCCTTGTTTCCGCTCTGGCGACGTGGGGTGCCTAAATTTCCTGTCACAAGATAGTATATAATATGTTATTTTAGTTGACTCTAAGAAATACTTTATTAAAAAACAATTTCAAATATTTGGACAAAAACATATACCACATATATTGAATTTTTATTCCTCGTTTTATTAATCTTCTTTTCAATTTATTTTAATGTGTTTTTAGCAGAATTATCTGTTTATTGCTAAATAGTTTGTATGCCACATGTTAATAAAGTATAGGTCTCGGATAACTGAAATACAGAGTACTATCATAGTACTCACTCTCTTTGGCGAATCCAAAATCTCTACCGCATTGACCTTTATTGTTGATACCGAAGGTGTAAACGAGGCCAAAATGCGTCAATGCCACTGCGTGCGCCTTCCCTAACGCCACCTGTATTCAATTGCAAACATTAACTAATATACAGCCAATTAATATTTTTATTGAAAATAGAAAAAGGAATGAGTGGAGTAGACTTAACACTGGCTATTGGATAATAAGAGTGTGATAGTAAGAGTTAATAACCCAATACGACTTCGATTGCCCAAAACCAAATGAAATTAAGTTGATTAAAGGGCCCTATACAAAAAGAATGCCTATTATGTGTGATAATGATTAAGTTCAATATTTTTAAGTATTCACCACTCTATTACATATATTCTGGCAGTCCAGCGCAACATCGTCTGCGATACATTTTGTCCGATTTTGCATTTTTTCCATTATTTTTCATTGCATCTCCACTTAATTGAAGTTATAGGCTGTTGCGTGATGTTATACAGCCTTTCTTAATAAATTGGCTGTCCAAAACTAAAACAATTATATAAATCGGATCAGTAGTACCTGAGATTACCCCTAACCCTTCCCCTTTTATAATATTAGTATATATGTACATACGTTAGGGGGTGACGAGTGAGAACGCATGATAGGTTTTCTTTATTTCAATTTGATAGAATGTATTACATTAAATATGAGTCATGACCTGTTTAATTCTCTCGTGCCGCAGACCAACCACAAGTCCAGTGGAGTCACAGTGCATAGTGTCCTTACCCAGCATCAGGAGCAGACCTTGCTTGGTTACCAGAGCTGTTGAGCCGTAGTTACATGCAGCGTACGTGATGTAATGACCCTCGGCCTGTTTTTTAGAATGTACAAATTAAATACTTTTAACATATATTACATAATGAGTACTCTATGATATGATGAGATGGAGAAGAATATCTGGGGATTACGGAATGGGGATTTTCAAAATGGCTATACTGTTTTCTTAAGGTGTTTCAAATGTCCATAAGTTGTTTTAACCATCAACTTGGCCATATTGTTGTTTAGCACCGTAATAGCATAAAAAATTATATGACTGATGTCATATCCTTCCCATAATATGCTGATGCATATAATGAAGTGTCCTCTGACGGATAGTCAGTCTGACATTTAGTCGTGTCAAATGTAATACATAAAACGCCCATATCCATATGTAGTGTCACGATCATAGGAGATTTTGTCGACATTTTGAATTTGAACATTTTGAACGCTGAACGCATGATGTATAAGGTCTAAAATTACGAGGTACAACACTCATAGACCATGATGTTATTGCTGTGAAATAAGAATACCTTAAGTATTTTCTTGGGTCTGGTAGGCTTTGGTGTTCGCCTGTGCTTATTATTATCACCATCTTCACCGCGTCGAGCGATACCAGTGAATAATGCGGTGCCATTATCCATGACCAGAATAGCGTGAACGCCTTCGTGACCAACTGCCACCTATACAAACAACAACAAGTAAATTACCCAGGCACATAAATATGTATAAAATTGTTATATTTTTTAAATCTAACTTTTATCTTAAAGTGTTAGAGTAGATTTTACAAAGTTTGTATATTTTAACTAGGTGTGCCATATAGTACATATGTACTATCCCACGGACATAAATATGTCGATTTTTAAATTTGACTATAAACTTAAAGAGTTAGAGTGGATTTTAAAAAGTTTGTATATTTTACTAGCGCGGTATAGCATATACTAAACTTAGCCGAACTAGTAATGTGCATAGTTGCTTTGTAATAGATGATAATGAAACATCTAGCCCTCCTATGTTAATAATAAACTAGGTAACATTCTAGTGAATTATATAATGATGAGGATGAAGTCATTTTGGACACAGCATAACGTTATCATGAGAGATTTTTTCACGAATTACGATTCCGATCGGTATCGAGATAATTTCACTGCTATTTCTTACCCTTCAATCTAAACACAACTTGCGTATAACGTCTTGTGCTGCTGAAATTGGTATTTAAGACAGGTACGTGTTTGTTTGGATGTAATGTATTATGGATGATTGGTTGGATAATACTTGCTGACCCCGCAAACGTTGTTTGGCGTATAAATTAAAATAGCTATTTAAAAAGAGGGGTTGATGGTAGGTAGGGAAAGGGTGAAAATATAAGATTGTATTTTTAATGCCACATAATAAAAATATTTTTTTTATTTTTGGGGTGAGCCACCCTTATCACTTAGGGGTATGAAATTATTTATAAACCTATTCTCAGACCTACTGAATATAAAATTTCATCAAAATCGGTCAAGCCGTTTCGGAGTAATAAACACCAAACCCGTAACACGAAAATTCTATATTATATATTAAATTATATCATGTCACACTACAGATGTATTCCCTCAACTTTGTCTGTGATATAGTTGATATTGGTTTTCTTACAGATATAAAGACACAGACAAAATCATAATTTATACAATATAAATACACCTTGTATAAAGTTCGCTAATTACAATCTATACCTGTATAACTCTTCCCTTCTTGACATCCGGTATATCGTTTCTTGTGTACACCGTCTCCTTCATTAGGGTCCAGCGGCTGGTGACAGGTGATGCGGTCTTGTATCCTAAGCTAGCTCCTTTGCCAGTATAGTACACCTGTATAATATTATTACAAAAACGATTATTCTCACACGTATTCTGCACTAGCTGTGCCCGCAGTTTCACCCGCGCGAAATTTAAAGACTATATGTCATACTAAGGTATACCTCAGCTAAACTTTTTAACTTAAGTTTCATCGAAATCCGTTCAGTAGTTTTTGTGTGAAAAGTAACAAACTTCCATCCATACTCACAAACTTTCCTTTTATAATTATTATGTGCCTAACATTCCTAAAATCTGTTCTGGGTGTCTAAAATATTTAGAGCAAATTCCCAGAAGGCAGGCCAGAAGTCTATTATGTTATAAGGAATGAAATGAGTATCTTATACTTAACCATTAGTATGATCAAACCGCCATTTTCCATTTTAATCACTAATGTACTTTTACTAACATCAGTTAAAGGTTCTCAGAATAGTCACCTGTATTCACATAACGATTATATTTTAAATTTATTTATTTGCGATGTAAAACATGTCAGTCACATTTAGCTAGTCATATCCAAACAGTACTGTATACGTGTATACTACATAGCTAGATGTAAGATCTGTGATTAAGACGTTTGTAATAACGACGAAGTATACTATACTATACTACTATATATGTATAGTATATATTAAAAAAAATAAGTATCAATTATTTAGTACCCATACCACAATCTCCGCTTGGCTTGTAACTAAACGACGCTGATAGAGTTGTCCGGTATATAATTATTATAATGCATAAGTCACATAAACATATATAAGGGAATAGAAAGACTTACCTTTCCTGTAATAGTGTTCAAAAGACAAAAATCTTGACCGGCTGATATATTGACCATGCAATCGTCATCATTGTCGTCTAATTCGACTGCCACCGGTACTTCCACGTCCAAGGGTCTTCTAGAGAATCCATCGTCGAATGGTGAGCGGCCAATGATCAGTACGTGACGACGGAGGAGACTTACTGTCATTTCTTTGTATGGTCTAATAACAGCAGGCGTAGTATCATCATATCTCTCCCTAGGCCCATCCACGTCGTAATATCGTATTGTTAAGTAATCCTACGATATAAATTATAATGTTAACTTGTACACGTATCCATTAGCCAGTTTATTCTAAAAACTAATTCCAATCTAAAAACATTAGATTGCGAGACCACATCTTTATGCGCTTGAATATTTTGTTTTCTACATTTCTTGGCCCTTTAGAGAACCGATATAGATTATAATTCATTCATTCGGTTTTGTCTGGATACAGAACACAATACAATACAGAACTAGATTGGAAATTCATATTGAGATTAGAATCTAGAGCAGACACTGTATCTCTACTCTGTCTGTTACGTTACACACAAAACTAAATATTTATCAGTAACTTCTGTTCTTATGTGTATTATGGATTTAGTCAATTTATGCCTACATGTTATTCTGATATATATAAGCTATATTACTGTCAAGTTTCATCAATATCCGTTCAGTTCTGTTTGCGTGAAAGAGTAACAAACGTCCATCCAGACTCACAAACATTCTCCTTTATAATATTATTAAGATTACTCAATTATAGTCATAATATTATTATATTGAACTGAAATCACTTACTTGATTTGTAATAGACACCAGTCCAAGCATATTGCCGTCGCTGAAAATAGCAGTCTTAGGATCGAAGGGCGGTATGAGATTAAGGTCTAATGTCACATAATCCTTCACTTCGAACGTATCTTTATCAAGTTCATATAATTCGGACTTCTTTCTTGCAAGTTTAACATACAATTTATTCTAAAAAAAAATTCTAATTCAATATCAATGATTATTGTTCATAATAATACCAATATTAGCAATAGATTTTTTAATTATGTAATAGTCTAACTTAATAGTCATATAAGAGTGCATTACATATAATATAATAAATTGCTTCATAGTATTCGAACAATTCTCAATCGGATGCCCGATAATTACACCCAATTGTAATTTATATTTAATTTACACTGTTATTGTATTACATATCTTATATATAAAGTAGGTAAATTTGCAACACCCACCTTACAGTAACCTAGCCAACCATAACGTTCGGAAGGAAAGAAGTCTCGCTTGTATAAATACAAGTGTGGTCTAATGGAGATGCCGTATCCAGTGCCGAACTTTAAGAGACCTTTCGAAGTAAGCACATACAAGTAACAGCCATCAGAGGCCAGGGAGCGGACGGCCACATCTTCTGAGCAATCAGTCAGTTGGGGGGGAAGGTCCACTTGAAAGTGGCCGAATTGAGATAGATGGGGGACACCGAAGTTCAACCACTGGTTGCGGGACGATTTTCCGAGAACAACGGCTTGGACACTTCGTTGCATGATCATTAAATTTGCAGGTACCTGAAAAAGTATATTGTAAATACTATAATGTATAATATTTAGCCATTGACTTGTTTCCGATTCCAGATAGATAAAAGTCCAAGTTGCCTACTACCTTCATAACATATTCAATTTTCAGTTCAAAAGTCTACAAAATATTCAAAATTTTTTATTGAAAATATAAATACAAACAACAGTAAATATTTTCATAATTCATTTACTAATAATAATGTCAAATATCACCGCAATGAATCTTTACAGTAAGTCGAGTCAAATTACTCGAGTCAAAGCTAGTTTGAACTTTTCATAACACGCGAGCATTGTTGATATTCAAAATTTATGTGAACTACGGAAATATTTTCAGAAAACCCGAATATCTGTCACACTCACTGTATAAAAGAAAAATTAATTGCAAAGGACTTTGTAGGAAGTTGGTTAAGGGATAATCACCTGCACATATTGTTCTGCCAATTGTGGCGCGGACATAATCAAAGAAGCAATAGCATTGATAATAAATTCTGCCTCCCCTCTGGCTACAGAGAGTGCTAAAAGACAAGAAGTACTAAGTGCGGTTAGATTTGTGGGTTTCTCTGAACGCCCAGTAGGTCCACTCCCACCAGCTACTTCCAAGAGCATTGCATGAAGGCTGGATATAATCTAAAATAGAATACAATTATATAATTAGCTGTTTTAGAGAAAACATCAAATAATAGCAGCTCGCACTTTCTCTGACACCTTACAAGATATTTGAATATTACCAAAACGCATAACATTACATTTGGGAAACAGAGATAAATATGATATTATTTGTATTGTTTTATAAAGCAGTTGTACCGTCAGATCAAAGTTCTAGATAGCAAAAAAAAATTATAAAATATTGAACAGTTTGTAAAGATTTTAATTTATTATTACATTCACTTACATCAATTGGTTCTTGAGAAAGTTCCTCAGGGCTGTGACCCTGTAGTACGTCAAGCAATGCTTTAAGGGCATGCTCACAAAAGTTGGCATCAGTGAATCTTGCTTGAGATATGAGAGCAAAGACAGTTTTCAAACCCATCCCAGTCACCTGTGACAATATTTTATTTATTTATTTAAGAACCAACCAACAAAGTCGACACCTTTAACAACATAGAATTAATGTTAAAATCTCCCAATTAAAGTTTTGTCTTATATACAGGTTGGAAGGGATAGGTCAGCCAAAACGAAAACAGCTGAATCAGAGAACAGATAATATTCCCACAGTAAACGCACCACAGCCATATAATTAATGATTATAAGTTTTGGCGATTTACAACGTACTGCGCTCCACATCGCGCGGTCACGGCGCTTTGTCGAATTATCAAGTGCGTTTAATTCTGCTACAATTAACATGTGTGAGACTACAAATATTCGGTGTGGAAACCTGACCAGCTCTACGTCCTTCTCCAGTGGTGATCAAATTCCGACCGTTATTGTGTCTATACCCATATCGCGACACGTGTGTCGTCTCTGAACAAGGAATCATCAGGAGTTGAATAGAGTTCGGGTACAGCTCGGAAGCCTAGTGGTGACTCATCGGCGACCAAACTGCGACGCAATGGAGTCGCGGTTTGGTCGCCGATGAGTCGCGTAATTAAACAAAATAATATAAATCCATCAAGTAGTGAAATGGACTTCCGCAAAGTAACACCTAATTCGATTAAATAGTTTCAATAACGTTCCGTTTCACTCTTAAATCCGATACACACAAAATAAAAACAGTAAACATTTAGTCTCACTTCAACACAAAATCAAAAAAAGTTATCAACAAAAGTTAGCAGCAAAAGCAAAACTTGAATAAATAAATAAAAAAAAACGTAATCTAGAATATATACGGAATCCGATCCTGTATATAAACTGAAGCAAATTAATTAAAAGATAATGTTTACTAAACCTGAACCGTTAATAAATTGATAAGACAGTAAATAAAAAAAATATAATTGTGTATAGACCTCCCTTAATTTGAATCCTTAAAACTATATGTTAAAGTTAACATAATTAAGTATGTATGGTAGTAGGTATAAATTAATGCTTATTTATTATAACCACAATACCTTGGGCAACTTTGATATTGGTGTCTGTTGTGAACAGTCATCATTATCACTGTCGTCAGAGAATTCAGAGATGGATCCGTGAAGATGGCGCCAACGTGCCAGGATAGATTTGCGCACGTTGACAAATACGGCAAACTGCGACGGGTTGCCAAGAAGCGATGGTACGTAGCACATAGGAGTCGCATTCGCCGCCTTCAGACGGCGCTGCTTCTCCTTTTTGCCACATTTCTTCGATCTTTTCGGTAGTCTCCTATGTAATATATGTACTTCTTTATTTCTATACTGTACTGTACTGTTATACGTCCATATTTGGAAAATTACATGTGCTATGCAAATATTTTAATTTCATATATACCTACATATAAATTAAATAGATCACATTGCTATGACTTTTATTATGACATATTGTAATTTAAATAATGTAAATTAAATATTGTAATGGGTGAAAACTGTGATTGGTACAGTTTATGCTGTAAATAATATAAATGACGTAGTGGAGTAACTTGAAACAGTCATGCTCGCTATAAAGTTCAAACTTGTGGCGGCGTGGTGGGCCGGGTCGATGTGTTCCCTCTAATATGGTTGAGTGCAATGATGGCTGGCTCATCCGTCATACTCGTGAACGGGTGCTGCTTGTGGGGACTGGTCTGTTCAGGTCGCGAACACTGATTAGATTTTTTTATTTTGTATATTGCATATGCTGGTGGTCACTCTATTCTCACAAATTTGAATTTAAATGAAATAGTATTAGTGTAAATAGCTGAGTTTCTTATCAGTTCTTCTCATCTCGAAATCATTCCGAACTGACGGTAGATTTGACATATCATAAAAGTCTGTAATAGACCTACATGAATAAAGAAATTTTGAATTTGAATTTGAATTTATGACTGTAAATATAAGTATAATAATTTATATCTATTCCATAATAAAACTCCGAAGGCACTTTGTTTATATATTAAATACTAGCAACCACCTGCGATTTTCTCGGCGTGTGTATTTTTATAAATGATCTCCTGATATTTAACATAGTAAGAACTAATTAAGTTCTAAGGTTACAGCTCTGTTACGGTTCACTAATGGACGCTCACACATTTTCCGGTATTCATAGCAGGCCTGCTTGTTCTTATCGTTGTAAGTTTAAATTATTGATAGAAATTACATACTGTATTGAACAAACAAAGCATATCGATATATATCGATCATTACATTATTAATTATAATTAAATAACTAAACTATAAAAGTAATTACTTAGATATAAATACATTATTTTCATTTAACTCTTGTTGAGTTATTTAGATCACTATTTTATCTGTAACGGCTTCTAAATACAATATATGTAGATCGGGATATTATGGACTTTTTACAACTACTTAAGAGACGCAATATCATCTCAAACGGTTTCTGTAAGGCACGCCAAAATAGGTCTCAAGTTGGAAAAAATACTTCGCCCTACTTGATACTTATAGTTATACTTCATCCAATTTACACAATATCTTATTAAATTATACCCTATGTGTTATTCTAATGTATGAGCTATATAACTGGGAAGTTTCATCAAAATTCATATGTAGTTTTTGCGTGAAAGAGATAACACAACAAATAAACATCCATTTATTCAAACAAACATTCACTTTTTTAATATGAGAAGGATACATCTTAAGAACATTTATCGAGGACATTACTTTATCTACAAATGACTAAAATTATTTTTTTCTATGTTTGTCTGTTAGTATAAACATTACATTATGGTATCACAACAGAAGCCAGTGAAGGGATTTGGGGGTTTTAGTAATGTAGTATATTCCGAAACTTTTATTTGAACATATAATAATAATCCTTTTCTTTTAAGAGCCAAGAATTGCTACTATTTTCAAAGTCGTAGTTAAATAGTCTACGAATTATATTACGTGAGACGAACTTCTTTGCATCCCACGGATTCATCGTGTGGAGTGGCAAACTCCGAGGGCTTCCATAGACTTGTGACCCGGGTGTAGGTGCTCCGTTTTGCTGATGTAGGTCGACATTCAACATTCATTGTACATTCAAAAAGAATTAATTTTGAGGAAGAATATCGAAGGAACTCTATTGTGGACAATTATGTAGCCTAAATAACAGCAGAAAACAACATAGACGTGTATAAATCGACCAGAGTGGCAAATTATTAAAAAAACCCAATAGTTCTAGCAATCGGTAAAGTTGCATGAATACGTTGATGCAGTGGAAGCAAGATAGCTATGTCTGAATCTGCATTTGGCGAGCTGTTGTCGAGATATAGGCGTGGCCGGCATGTATTGATTTATGGATGAACATCCCCTCGACAATTTAATGAAAACTATTAAACGGCTTTTAAATAGTTCACAGTCACTTTAATATGCCAATTTGACCTAAACCTTGACAATTTCAAAATTTTGCCTTCCCTCTTCATCTTCTTATCTCCCCCTTTCTTATCCGTATTATTTTTTTAAATGTCATCTGATAAAATAATGATTTAAATAAATTTTAGTTGATATTTTCGTTTGTATTCATTTATTATTTGTATTTTTTTTAGTGTATTTTTTATAAATATATACCGGTCAAGGTATACTTCAGCGCAGTCGAGAAAAAAAATAGGACCAGCCTTAACAACGGTTTATTTTTCTTTAAGTATAATATATATATATATATATACTATGTAATGTAAAATGTAAAAAAGAAACGCAAAAGCACTTTGTTATATATATTTATATATATCTGTGCAACAATGTGCTGCTACATTCCTTTGTTAGTTTCACATCAGAATGTACTCAAATCAACGGATCAATACAATGCACACAAAGGAAGATGCAAATTTTGTTAACTGTATGTATATATATATATATCTCCTGCAATTTTTATTCGTGGACGAGGACAATATTCTGTAAATTCACGAAAACAATATTTTTCAACTATAACACGACTTTGTTATTTGCGTAATATTTTGACTGTATAAGGACTATAGTGGTCAAAAGTTTTAATACGACAGATATGCAACCAATGTAATAACTATATTTTTTAATAAAATACAAATATACGCTTACATTACAATACATATAAACAACATTAAAAATAATGAAAAGGAAACATCTTAATATTTAAAAGAAAAGTAACTTACTTTTAAATTAGAAACGAAATTTTATTTGTAATAGTGTCTAAGGTAGTAATTAAATATTTAATAACTTGGTCAGAAATGGCAAAACATTAAGTATATGTTTTAGCAGATTGCTGTTCATGTTCATACTTAATAGCCATTAACACTATGAGCTGTACTAACTTATTTACCATTCATATCTTATAAAACATCGGAAAAATCAATGTTATAATTTCTCAAGTGTTGCTCTCAGATTAGCAGCTTTATAGTTTTATTATTAAGAATTTTGATGATTATTTGTTGTACACAGAAGATAAAATTATTTAACAAATATTATAACATCCAAAGTAACATACCTCGTACCACTCCAGCATAATGCGCCAAAGTAGCCTTCGTAGTTCACAGGTTCCATAGATCTTAGCTCAGGAACCTGTGCCTTCAGAGCCGATCTGAAAGACATCTTGAATTCTGAAACAAAGGTACACTTTGTAAAAAGTCGTCAAAATGGGTAGGTGGTGGGTCCCGATCACCTACATCTTGCTCTTAGGAACTCAAGGTCAAGGTCTTGTGTTTCAACAAGGACAAGCCAGCATGACATGACATAGTTCTACAATTGGCGACGAAATTTCTACCACTTGTCATCAGGTGGGCCCCTGTCTTTTTTACCATTGAAACTACAGAAATTACCAGTTTAGAAAATAAACAATTCACAGAAGTAGTAAAAAAAATGGGTTTATGTTGTAAACATTACTTTAAATTAATTTACCAGCTGTGCACCCTGGCTTGTAACAAATTTCATGAAAAAATATTAAATAATAATTGTTAATGATATTATAAATACAGATTATTAGTTGTTCTCCATTATTCTTTACACATAGAAAACACAGACACCAGTTATTGTAACCAGAGTGATTATATTGTGATAAGTTTGAGTATAAAAACTTCAATCCAGAATTCTCAAAATTTACCCGGAGTCAAACCATCAGTTACTAAAATACATATATTATAATTATTATCCAGGACTATGGGTCAGTTCGTCAATTACTACTTAGTCATAAACTTAAAATTATAATAACAAAATTTAAAAGACAAAGAATATTAAGTGAAAGACATCACAAAGTTAGTTGTGAAGTCAAGAAAAACTGGACCAATTGTACAAAAGCCAATTACACAGAAAGATAACACATCAGAACAGTTGTGGAAGAAACGAAAAGCTGTAATCCTGAATCTGTATTATAGGCCAGACCCACAACTTCATCATGAAAATGCCATCATTGGATGACTGACAACTGTTGATACCCTAGCTCTTATTGAAAAGAGATGTGAGATAGAGATAGCTATTGAAGCAAATAACATTTACATAAACAGATTATATACACAAATCCATACAAGTTGAAGGGAAATTATAATACACATTTCCAAAAAATCTACAAGGAAGCTGAAAATCAATAGAGGTCAGCCAGGACACAATTGTTACCAAAATAGATAAAATTTCCAAAATATAGTCATCTGCTCTTTGTAGACCCACAATCTCACCTCTTCCAAAGTGTAAATGACAAAAGATTGTGATTATGAAAAAGAATTAAATTAGAATACCTATCAAGTATTATACAATATTTATTAATAAAAGCAATAACAATATTTTTTTATTATTATCGACCTTATGAAGAATAGGCCTTCGTAACTTTTAATAGTGGCTTGAACTGGCTACAAATGAGGTAGTAATTTGGTGTAAAGTGTCTGGGAACTGAAAAATCCAACTTTTTGATAATTTGCCATTTAATAACAAGTCCAATCACTGGTTATAAATTAACTAATCGACCCTATATTTATTTAAATTCTTACTTATGTAAGATATGTTGCTATATTCTTCTCCTAAGGTATAAAAAAAATACCAAAAGCAGTGTGAATAATAACTCAATAATTTCATTGAATACTAGAAAACAACGCAACTTCGTACCTATAGGTCGTAATGAAACAAAGACTTTATTTAAGTAAAGTCAGATACTCATCTAGTATTCAATGCAGTTATTGATTTTTATGCACTCGCCTTTTGGCAGCACTGAGCTTTCTGCGCTGGGTTAGTGACCTTCTAGTTTAATTTTTTTTAATTAAATTCCTTTGTTAAGATATATAAATTATTATACTCTATTTCATCACGTCAATTTAACTCTTAATATTTTAATTAGAATACTGTATATATGAAAAAAAATATACGAAAATATTAACACACAAAAATTCGCATATGTTTTAAGAAACTAAATTCATATTCAGATTACACCACTGCAATTTAATAATTATTTAATATATTTATTAACCTTTGTTTTATTAATTCAGAGTACCATAATGTAGGTATTTGCAATAATTTTTGTGTGCTATATATTTATACATTAAATCAAAAGTTATTAGGCATACCTTAGTCTTCAGTAGGCCACATAGTTGTTTTCACATATTAAAATTGGTTTACTTGATTTTACTTAAATCACAAAGCTATTCATAGAACTCTGCAGTAAGATGAAAAATCAATACTGAATACGTGATAGTGCTTACACTGACCGTTTAATATCGATGTTGTAAAAAATTTAATCGATTTGAAATCGATTCCTTTAATAGCGGTTTTCTATTCTTTTATTAAATATTTTGTGTGCTCTAAAACTGATTATGTACAATTAATGTGTCAAATGATAAAAGAAATCTTTCTCATGATTTACATGTATATACCAGATCAATTTATTTAACGTGCGGATAAAATTTGTAATGTGTAGTCGATATATAAAAGTTATTCGATTTTCGCATGAAATAAAATTTTAAATATTTCGCTTCTAATTATTATTAGTAAAACAATTATTTAAATCTACAATATTTTTACTATTAGGAACTTAACTTAAGAATGTGATTCTTTGCTTCATGTCTTTAAACCGTAATCACAATATGCTCAATAACAAAATCGGTTTGTAAGTATAATCTACAGTGTAGTGTATTTACGCAAGTACAATTTGTCTCAAGGAGGTGCAAGAGATATGTCTTCATTATACAAACGTTACAATTTAAGCAATGTTTTCAAAATTTATTAAAGTGGCTTAAGGAATTTCATGAAATTTACTAAACAAATTTCATAAATACAAACTCATGTAGTATATTACTCATAAACTCATGTAGACAATTAAATGAAATCAAATCTCCCATCAGTTCTAAAAATAATTAGGGCTAAGAATAATAAACTAGAAACTTTTCAAATATCATTACAATAATACACAATTATTAAAACTGATATTTAGAATTAATACAATGACCATCAGCATCATAATATTGTTTACATACCTATATAAAGATAATTTAATCAGTAGACATAACTAGAACAAACCAGTCTCCAAAAAGCATTACCCGTTCACAAATATAACGATTGAGCCTGATTTGAAATATATGTATAATGTACATACACAGTGTAGTTAGTATATAAATTTTAAATGCCATTTATTTTATTTTATTATTATATATATATATATATATTGATTGATTTGCTTGCTACTATGTTTTCTGTTTTTAGGAAGGTGAGTAAATAATCTCTTTTAGCGGCTATGTTGAGGCCACTATTATTGTGTGTTTCTTGTATTGTAGCAGCAGCAAGAATGGACGAGGTGAAATGATGAGTCGAATGATGGTTATTTACATTATGTATATTGATGAAATATTTACAATGGATACCGTTGACACAAAAGAAAAGAATAACTGTACTGTAAGCTTTTCGCCTTCTCCCGCATCTCCAATCAAACATGATGCCCCTCGCAATCAGAACAAGCTTATCGAAAACAAAATCTGCGACGGAGATCTCAAAAGAGCTGCTCGCCTTTTGTTCTCAAACGACGACCCCTGACACCATTGAGGCCTTACGGACAAAACATCCTCCAGCTCCAGTAAATCCATATTTTCTTGACCCACCAGCAGCGGGGCAAGCATGCCTTTAAATTCAAAACAAAGATGTTACGAATGCTATTTTATCCTTTAAAAAAGTTCAGCTGTAGGTTTGGATGGAATCTCACCCCAACATTTGAAAGACCTAACATCGCATACTGTGGGTGATGCAGATGAGCAACTTGTAAATTCGATCACTAAATTAATCAACTTTATGTATTCCGGTAATGTCAATCCAGAAATTGTTCCCATTATTTTCGGCGCGAACCCCATTGCCCTCACCAAAAAGGACGGAGGGGTGAGACCAATTTCTATTGGGTCAACACTACGACGTATGGCCTCCTAATTTGCTGTTCGACATATATTACCAAAATTAAATTCGGAATTCGAACCCGTACAGTTAGGGTTCGGTGTAAAAGGAGTCTGTGAGGCAGCCGTTCATGACCTACGCTCTTTATTAACTTCAGGACAGCATTGACTTGATGTTAAAAATGAATTAAATTCGGTAAATAGTTAACGAAAATAAAGCAACACCCACCGGAAATATACAATTATGTTCTTCTTAGTTACGCTGACTCAACAAATTTGTTATATCGTTCTAATGAACTATCCTCGGAAGTAGGTTGTCAACAGGGTGATCCGCTTGGGCTTGCAACTTTTAGTTTGACTATAAATCCGATAATCAAAAATCTAAATTCTAAATTCAATGTTTGGTAATTGGACGACGGGTCTCTGGGAGGTGATGTGGATACTGTGTTAAAAAAGATCCGAACCCTTTTTTTAGTTTGGAGTTTTGGAGTTTGGAGGTCAATTTTAGCAAATGCGAACTTTTTATAAATAATTGCGACTTAAATTTAAACGATGTAAAATAAAAACTTTATATTTTGGCTCCAAAATTAAAATAGTTAACAGTAAAGTATTAAAATTACAGTTAAATATTAAAATAGTTGTTCACTTTACATTTTAGGTCCTCCAATTTTTGATGAATCTATTTCTGAATATATTAATAATTCAATGGCTAAATTTCAAAATTCTGCTGACCGTCTACTTGAAATCAGTCCACATTATGCATTTTGCATCTTAAAATTTTGTCTTTTCGTCCCAAAATTTACGTATGTGCTCCATTGCTGCTTCATCTGGAAATACCCAGATCTTTTGACACAAGTAGACGATTTAATAAAAAATACCTTAGAATCTGTTCTTAATATGCAGCTAAACGTGCAATCTTGGACCCAAGCATCATTATCCATCCAATATGGTGGTTTAAGGATTCGCAAAATTTTCTCTGTCGCTTTATCAGCTTTACTATCTTCTGTTCATAGTTTAGCAATTCTTTTAAGTAAAATAAATAAAAGAGTTTGCTGATTTTGGAAGAAGCTAGGAACGCATTCTTAATTGCATGCCCTGGTCAAAATTTTCCAGTATCTCTAAATTAACAGAGGAGCTGGGACGACATAAACTGTAAATTGACATACGACAACCTTTTGAGTACAGGTTCGACGCTTGCTAGGCTTTTAGCCATGGGTGCGCCGGCTACTGGCTACTGGCTTCACGCGTACCCTTCGTCAAATACAGGAACATTACTTGAGCCTGACACGCTCCGAATATCAACCTGTCTACGGCTTGGGGTCTGCGCTCCTCATAAATGTCCCTGTGGTAGTGATGTCGACAAACTAGACGAACACATCACAGACTGTCATGCCAAAAAAGTGCAGGCCGTTTCTCGAGACACGCCGCACTTATAAGCCGGTCCCTTACCACCGACAATGTGCCAAGTCCACTTGAGCCGATTGGTATTGCAAGAGACCGGACGGTATGAGTTTGATTCCATGGAAGATGGGCCGGGTGCTGGTTGGGATGCAACCTGTTCAGACACGCTGGCCCCATCCCATCTAGATGGAACCAACAACAGAGCTGGTGCGGCTTTTGAAGCGGCTGAAAAAGCCAAAGCATGTAAATAAAGGGGTCTAGGCTCCGAATACGATTTTGTCACATTCGGTGTTGAGACCGTGAGGTCCTAGCGCTATAAGACTTTTCAAGGAAATAACGAAAAAGTTAATCGACATCACAGAAGAATGAAGAACTGGCAGCTACCTTGGACAAAGAATTAGTCTAGCCATTCAAAGAGGGAACGCTTCCAGTATCTTCGGAACTTTGCCTAAACCCTTTTAATAATATATTTTAATAACTAAAATATTAAGGTTATTATAAGTTTTAAGGTTTTTAATTTTAGGTTCTCAGTTTTACACAATAGAATATTAGATATATATACAAGTAAGCAACTCAGACTAGAATGACAGGATGCCAGGGCTTGTTAGTTTATTCTCAACATCGTAACCAGGCAATGGTGTTGCCGCACGATAATGGTAAATTCGCCAGACTCTATTAGAAAGAACCACCCGCCATTAAATTCAAGATAGCAGCACTTTGTTATGCTACTCTAAATATAAATACCAATATGGTTTTAACGTCTACTGGAAGATATGTATATGTTATGCAAAATAACCATAAAGTTACTACACGTAGAAGGCACAAAGGCAAAACCGACAAAAGATCCACTATAACGGAAATACTATACCAGTGTAAGAAGCTTATTTTTTCTAGAGCGCATAATACATCTACATACATCAGTTGTTAATAAATAATTATCTAAAAATATTTTTTTGTATTACTTTCCAGATTCTTTATGGAAACATTTTTGTACAAGTAAAACAATAGCGTTTATGGTAGTACAAGGTAATACATACATAGGAATAGTTTAAATATATTTTTTAATACAAATTAAAAAAAACGTAAATGTTGGTCTTTATTTCTTTTTCGTATGTAAACTGTGCACATTATTGCATGGTTGCTATATGTATAGTCATGCTCGTAAAGACAAATATCACATGAATTTAGAAAGTTAAATATACTGTACAAAAAGACTACATTGAATTAAAATTATTCTCCGATAACACAAATAATTGCATTTGGTAATACTCGCTATTCCAAATATAGTTGGACAGGTGTTGCCACTTTAGTTTATTGCAAAGTTATGGATTATAGGGATGTTGCTCTACTATGGGTGTTGTCGATTTCTTTATTACGTTTATCGGAAGAAATCGGTTTAATGTTCATAGAAGTTTGAAATTATGATGGCCAACCCTAGCCCGCCATTGTGGTGGTTGGTTAGTGATCCTGTGTTATTTAGTGTCCGATTTATGTGTTTTTGTTCCGTTTAAGGCAGTAATGAATATATTTTTTACAAATATTTTAGACAAAAAAACAACAGTGACAATAATGCGTGCCGAACCTTTTATACCTGACTAATTGACATCTTTGAGTCATCACGGTTAGTTCAAATTGATAGCTGAGGTTATTTGTTGTGACATAGGTAGCTATATCCTTCCCATAATTTGTCATCAACGTTAATTAAAAATCTTTTGTGGAATTTAGGAGAAGTTTTAGTTACCTTGTAACAGTTCTCCAGTTTGTTCTTTTATTATTTTTAATATAATTGACTCATGATTGACGTCTGTACGAGCCATGGGTCTCGCCTTAGCGTTGGTCGCTCCTTTGCGTTTAATGACATAAAATCTTTGTTTCCTATGGGAAAAGTTGTGCATGTAAAGTAGCGCAATAAAATTATAACGAAATGGACTTATTTTTATTTGTGGAATTAAATATCCGAAAGGAAACATTTGTGACGGCCTGATGGCGTCTTATGTATTTACAGATAAATATCTTGTATAACAAAGTCTGCAGATTGTGGTAAGATGTGCCTGAATACATCATTTCTATAAACATGATTCTAAGATCTTATTAATATTAAATATTTAATATCTCAAATATAGTTTTTCTAGTATTTCAAGTATAATGTGCTTTGAATATATATTTTTCCAATTTTTATAACATGTATTGATTTTGTATCAGTATTATAGTTTTAAAAAGTAGTAATATAAATATTTCATATTTACCCTTAAATATTTATTTGATTGTTAACATACCCTGGTGTTTATTAAACAATTGATATACATAAATACAGTGTAATATTACAATTTAAAATGAAATAGAATTGACTTTTTTCAATGAATACTTAGAAACACAATACATAATAACAAAAGACTTAAAATATAATGAATAAATTGAATATAAATAAAGTATATATATATTATATAGAAGAAATGTATATAGAAAAAAATATGTATGATATGACAATTTACATATTTTCTTACAATTATGATACTCTGCACTAATATCTGTCTAAGATAATAAGGCCCTATTTGTGGTACTATATTTAATAACACCATTATAAGATTGTAGTGTTAAATATGCAATTAATGTAATATATTTCTCAGTTATATATGGTATTTAATATTTAAATGTTTATTATTATTATATGATCTGATTCCTACATATAAATTATACTACTATTTATTAAATATTGAATATATATAAAACTAATTTTTATATTTGTAAGCAAATACTAACCTTATATGAAATATATAAACTTAAAATGACCCTTTATATTATTTAAAGTTATTTTTATATATATTTTGCAATGTCTATTTCATCAGCCTTAGTTTTATATCTTTAAATAATATATACACTGTATATATTTATATATGTTGTGTGAGAAATACCTTTGCATGAATATTTAGAATATACAATAGTTATTACATTAGAGATTAGAACAACAATACTGCATTGACATTGTTATCTTTACATGTCAGCAAACTGGGTCATTATTGAAAGTTATTTTGATAGTAAAATAAATCCATTTAACCAATATAGTACTAATGAGGCATTATTATTCCTAAAATCACAATTTTTAAATTCAAGCATTCAAATGTTTACATGAGTAATAGAAACAGATAAAAATGCATAATTATTTATTATGATTTTCATAATTATCAACGTAATTCATCCAAACACTTTGTACTTTTAAAATACTGTTGTATATATATTTATAGATTTCAACAATGACTCTTTTATGTTGGTGGTTTAAGTAAAATGTGTATACATATTTTTCTATGTTAATATTAGGATTCCTTATGGATAATTTATTTTATATTTACGTGACATTGGTAAATAGCTAAATAATATTTACTGTATCTGTTATACAAAACAAGTGCTATTAAGATTCATGTAAACTGATGTTTTAGCTTCATAATAGACAAGTGATGGTCTAATTGCTATTTATTTTATGTTTTTCACTGGTTTCTATGTTTGACCAGGCTACTCCAGGGCGGTCCCTGAAGGGCAGCGATGGAGGTCGGAGCGCGAGCCCTGGATGTTCTCCCGCTTCTTCAAGAACGGGTGGCGGCTTTGACTGGCGGTCGGGACCGCCGCGGAGGCCCTATAATATGGTTCCCGGCCAATTCAAGACGAGATCGCGTCGCGCCAGATGACTATAGGCGCCTGCTCCATTATTTAATCAGTATACCTAGGTAAACTTACTGCTCTGTTACTGCATAATTTATTTTGTTTAGAATAAATGATAAATATTACTTAAGTCTTTATTATGGTGTAAGATGGTGATGGAGTAGCAAAATGATTGGCACCACTTCAGATTGGAGTATGGAATATAGATAAGGGATCAAACCACAGTACAAAAGTCTAAGAAAAGGAATATAGAAAGTTATATTGGCACAAAAGTATTCTCTTAATTTGATCACAAATCATTTAGGAATTACTATTTAAGGATATATTTAAGCTAAATGAATGTTGCTTTAATGCAGACAACACAAAAAGTCTTCTTTCTTTTAAATTGTGTGCATTAAAGTTACTTACTTTTTAAAGTCTGAGTTCCATTATTTTAGTCTTGATTGTTTGCTAAAACAAAATTTGTTTTAATAAATAATATTTACTTTTGCAGTGATTCAGTAAGATCACATGGCTTCACAATCTTAATAGATATGAGAGGTTCAGCATGGGCAGCAATCAAGCCAATACTAAAAGTTCTCCAGGAACATTTCTCATCATCCGTCCACCAGGCACTTGTTGTAAAGCCGGACAATTTTTGGCAAAAGCAACGCACTACTATAGGAGCCCATAAGTACAAGTTTGATGTAAGTGATACTCTTATTTATATAGAATATATATTAATAAACAGTAAGATGAATAAATGTTCATTGTTCTTACAGAAAAATATTGATAGTATTAAAATATTTAGAGAGCATGATATGAGTGTAGTGACAAATCCTTATTTGTCTAATTTGCTTTGAAACTATATGCTGTGTAGAAGAACAATAATGAGAAAATCATTAAATAAAGTATGATTCATCCAATCATCAACACATTAAACAATATACTGACCACCATTCCTTTTTACATTTTGGAAGACAATAAAAGATTGATTTTATAATACTGTTAAACATTACTTCATTACATTAATTGATATTAAAGAAATACTTATTTGTATGTATTGTATAATATAATTGTTTATTTCAGACCACCATGATTAGCTTAGAAGCACTACCAAAAGTAATAGATAGCTCTCAAATGACAAATGATTTAGATGGTACTCTACCATATGATCATTCGCAGTGGATTGATTTACGATTGGTTAGTATAAATGTACTTTTATTTCTTATGAATGTGATAATTATAAACACAAATATTTGCCTGTCATCTGTTACATTTGCATAACTGAAGAGATCATAACAAAATTTGATATAAAGGAAGTTAGATTGTGTTATGAGAACGGACAAATTTCCTTAAGTCTTCAGACAAAATTGCAGGATACAACTAACAAAACTATAAAGTGTATACGGTTTTTTTAATGGATTATAATGGAATGGTGCAACTGCCTGTGCTGGCAGGCTGGCAGGGCTCCAGTGGAGGATGATAAGATGAACATGAGGTTAGGTCAGTTAGCCCATCATGACAAGTTCACCAAAAATTTACCATGATGGTTTCCAGAAGGAACTCTTAGAATGTTAAGCTGACATGGCACATTGCTTGAAATTGAGTTATACAAAACCATTATTCGATGCCGCCGGCGCAAATCTTCTTGCATCCGAATTTGAATTTCACTAACCCTATCCCGCCAAATGTCTATGCAAAATATATGATGACAATTGTATTAATAGAACATCGAAGTTTAGGTGATCTATTTAAATGTTATTTTCAGTTTTATTTATATATAAGATATATCAATAGGTACTAAACACGTCATGTCTGTTATTTTCGTATATCATAAAGGTGAAAAGGTGTTTATAATAATAAAGAATAGGTCTCAGTTTGAGAGATATTGATGTATGCATATCACAAACATACCTTCTCTGAAATCAATGTTATACAAACATTGCAACTGATACAATCCATCGAGTTGAAGAGGTGCTGCTCATATCACACTGTGTCAAAGTTCAATAAGTAACAACATTGTTTCATGATTATCTTTTTTGCACATTAAATTAATCCTGACTAATACTATAAATGATAAAGTGAGTTTGTTATTACATTTCAAGATTTAATGGGTGGCGAAGGCTACTTTTTATCATGGTCAGTCAATCATTCAGGCTTAAGCAGTGAAATAAAATGCTAACAAAAAACCTTTTGTTAGTTTTATAGTAAAATAGATTAGACTACTTGGCGACCTTCCTATATTACCTATTAAAATTATTTTTTCTATTTTTGAGTAGAAATATTATTGGTTGTTCCTATTTTTTTAAGATGCCGGACCTCGTAAGATAGCTACTACTCATACATACACATACTACACATACACATGAAAATCCATTGAACAATGGATTTTCATGTATAATGTAGCACTAAAATGTTGCTCCGTTTGTACAGGCACTCGAAGAACTGATGTGGCAGGCAGGTGAACTCCTCGATAGATTGGACGATCTGCAAGAAGACGTTGCTCGCGCTGATTTTGCTGATGACGTGACGGGCGCTAGGCGAGCCATCGACGCCCATGCGGATATCAGCAAACGGCTCTCTAAAGTTCCTGTGGATGAACTTGAAGCTCAGGGTAAGTGTTATGATAATTTTATTAAAAAAGTCATATTATTATTTAGTATCAAATATGTATTTTTATTACATAGTATAAAAGCAAAATGGACCGACAGACAGACAACATTTTTAAAATTAATTTTGTTCGTGCCATATCCTATATATATGCCCTAAGTGAAAAGCTGTAATTTAAAATTACAGGCACTTTAAATTTTATTCATTTGTATAGCAGAGATTAGCAAGTATAAATAGTCAGGGAAATGTTTTTTAGTATTAATTATTTTAACTTAACCGCCATATATACATACTTTCATATGCATACTAATTTGCAAATCCATAGTAATACTAGGAATTTCCTCTACGTCCCCATTTATGTAACATTTATTATTCAGCAGCTCTCGCATGTTTTCTTTCTTCCCATCCACATTTATACCAACATTAATCAAAATTGGTTCTGTTTTATAGTCGTGATTATTATGATGTATAATAATATACCCGCTACTGTAGGATTTCGTCAAAACCCGTCCAGTACTTTTTACGTAAAATAGTAATCTCGGACTTCCACTTTTATAAAGGTTTTGTAAGAATTAGGAAGGAAATTTTTAGTATGATTTGATAAGTTCAAATCCAATATATCCCGCAAAATATGTTTTATCTTGTTCACGACGATTTTGAAAATTGACAATGCCTCTGATTATCTCATCGGGGATTAGAGTTGTGACGTCATGTTTAATTATAAATAATGAATATTGGGCATTTATTACTGTATACAGTGCACACCGATTACTACACCCATTAATATATTTTTTGTATGTCTTTGGTTGTATACACAGTCTTATCACATTCCGAATCACAGAGCAATTAGTACATTGTCGTAGACTAATTGACTTTAACAATATCGCTATTTTAATGAATATAGAGGCTTCTTATTATAGTTTTATCATGACTTATCTACTGTCAATTTTATATTTTTACCTATTAATGCTTAGTTCATATAAATAACGAGTTTCATCATTTTATTATAGTCTACTATCCGAAACTCGAGACTTCGCCTGCTTTATTTTATACGCATGGAGATACGATTTATCCTCATCTAAATTTAATTTTAGATCACTTTAGCGTTTTATTTGTGACAAGGAAAGACATGGACAGACAGACACACTTCCACATTTATTATATTAGAATTAATTCAATAGTGCATAACACGATAAATGATATAATGCAAAAATAATCAACGTTATTTATAAAATACGTATAAAATACGTCTCAATAAATTTATGGAATAATTAAACATACCGGAAAATATATCTATGTATTATAAAATAATGCAATACAACTTATTGTTTAGTATCATTAAGACTTACACGTCACTGCCGATGTATGTTATAACGAGAAAGGCGTTCCATGTTCTATACTAGGCATGATCGGCTATTACGTATGCTTAAGCCTATGCCGTCCTAGTGATACATCTATCCTCACATCATTTTTTTTGCGATTCGCTCAGAAGGTAACAAAAACGTTAAAAATACCCAAACCCAAGACCATCGGAAGCCGACTCTGGTTTTACTACTACACCACTAGTTTGCTAATTAAGCTTCCTTCATACTCTTGCTAATGATGTTACTTGTTGACAATTAAACAAAGAAAAAACATTTTGTAATTTGTATTTAAAATAAAGAAAGTGTATCATTTCGTTTTCTTTCCATATATTTTTATTTAATGTTTGTTTTTAGGATTTCGTCATAAGATTGGTTTCAATTCAGATTCTATCCGATTTAGAAAATTATTCTTTTTCTGAAAGAATATATATATTAGTTTGCAGATTGGCTGTATAAAATTGGTTTTTAAATAAAATAACAGAAAAATATGCGTGATATATTTTACGGCATTTTTAGTCATCACGACAGTTCGTCATGACTAAAAAACCGTAACCTGAGACAGTTCTCAATTAAGACTCAATCAACAGATGATGTATAATGCTGATTAATCTGGAGCAGCCGTGGTACTGTAATAACACAATGTAATGCAAATGCCTCGTTTAGATTGAAGTATGTTTTTTTCTTGGCCTTATTTGCCTGTACACGCATATAATTTTATTATTGTTAATTGTTATTTTCTTTTATGGAACAGACACGCGTGCTGTATATTATTATGTGGATAGACGTTTATTCAACTTCATGGCTGAACGAGTGCCAACCGGTCAGCCCTAGGCTAAGTGCAGTTTGCTGATTGTATAACGTGCAGTTTCAGCGCGTGCACCTCAGTAACACATTACAACATGCTGAAGGATGTTCGTGTTTCGTGTTACACTACCGTCCTGTTATCGACATGTGTTTTGACTGTTTGTGGTGCTCGTACGATAATGGTATATGTAATCGTTTTAATAATTATAATTATTTGTTTGATTTTTATTAAATATACTAAAGGCGTTTATAATATATATTTTTATACATTTTTTTTAATAATTTGCAAGCGATACGTTCACCACGACATCGATAATTGAGCGTGTCTGAATAGCCCCATTTGGGAATACGGTCATGACGGGTATATTTGTATATTATATTTCTACCATTATTTTTTTTCTTTGTGATAATATGTTGGCGTATTTTTTACTAGTTATGTGTTATTATTATTTATTTATTGTGTGTGGATAGATCTTGTATGAATTCAAGTTCATTTATGAAAAAAATTAGTAACTATTATGTTAATTATTTTTTCGTATTTAATTAACGTAAAAACATATCAAACTATATTTAATAGGAAGAAGGGTATTATTTAAATTAAGTATTAGTGGTGCATTACATAAGCCATACATCGCCAATTTATGTTAATTTAATTAGTGCGTTTTTTATAAATCAATTTAAGTCGGATATTTGTTAAGTTTTTAATCATTTATATCCTAAGCGAAAAAGTGCCTTCAAATTACGTGCCGGTCCTGCCGGTCCGGTGTTCTGAACATCGTCCTGCCATATTTCTAGTAAAATTACCTAAATCGCCTATTATATTACCTAAAGCGCTGTACCAAGTCTGTAGCGGCTATTAGGTACTTGAGGTATATTAGAAGACAGCTTTAGCTCACATGTGCACATCAATAATACTGTACTCTTATTTAAATTTTGCGTCTTCTTCTTCACCAACTAGTTGACTGAATACATCATAAAATTGTTTTATTGTCACAGATTAATATTTTTTTTTATTAATAACTAAATTTTCAGTAAAGTCTCATTTACTTTCCCTTTATTTCTTCTTTTCCTTTTCTTATAAATCCCTTTCTTTCCTTCAAACTTTCTATGAATATGTGTATTATTAATTTTATGTAGGTATGTCTGTGTTGGTGTGTATTTTTGCATATATTATTTATGTACTTATCTTCACCATCTATCTAAAGCTTGTCTGTAAGATATTATTTAGCGATGAGACCGCCTTTTGTACTTACGACTGATATAATTATATATTATAATAGAAAGAACGACAGAAAAATATAAATATATGTATATGCATATATATTTATATTTTTCTGTATCTAGAGCAATAAATAAAATAATATTAATATTTTTGAAATCAGGTGAGCGCGTACTTCAGCGGCTCGAGGCAGCGGAGGCAGCTAGTGCAGAAGCCAGCGGTAGCGCCGGCGAGGCAGCGGCTTTCCACTGCGGCTCGCCGACTGCAGTGCGTTCGCAACTCGCCGCTGTACGGTCGGCGCACGCGCACGCACACAAACTCTGGCAACACAAAAAGATGCAACTCGACCAGTGCTTTCAGTTGCGCTTGTTTGAACAAGACTGTGAAAAGGTTTATTATAATTTACTCTTTAAATTAATATATGAAATATATACCAAATCAAACATAATTTATTCATGTAGGATATTTTTGCCGCTTATGAAAGTATTTTTTTTTTGTAAATATTTTTCCCTATAGTTCAGTTCAGTATACAGATTCAATTGAGAAGAATTGGCAAGAATCTCAATTGAAATTAGAATAATGAATAACTTTAAATTACTTTGTTAACAGATGCTCGAATGGATAGTGAACCACCGCACAGCTTTTCTCGCCACGTATGTAGAGATCGGAAGGTCATGTACAGCAGCTAAACGTCTACAGGAAGAACATGCGAGGTATAAAACTAATTAATATTAAATATTTTATTTGATTCGCTTATTTTCTTTTCTACACTCATTCTCTATACAGACTTACTTTTATTAGTACAATTATAGCCTGTGGGTTTAAATTTAGATGTTATAATTTATGTCAACAAAACACAAACATTTGCATTCATAAGTCAGTACTGTGAAATATTGAATCATTATGTATCAATTAGAATTTATTTTTTTTAGCCCTACACAGCTATCTGATTACTATAACTAGGATGAAAAAGTTATAGTCATGTCTTATGAAGTACATTGCAATTAAGTTATGAATATTGGAATGTACTGAATAAAATTTGATGAATCTCTTGTATTACAGATTCGCCGCGGCGTGCACTGGTGGCGGTCGGCCGAGTGTTGCCCGTGTAACTTCAGCTGCTCGACGTCTCGCTGATAAAAGGCATTATGCCGAAGCACACATCACACAACTAGCGCACCGTCTCGAACGAGCTTATAAACAGCTCTCAGCTGGTATGTTTTAAACATTTGGATATTCAACATCATTTATTTATTCGAACAGGTGCATATATGTATGAAATAGTATGAATGTATGTACAAGTCTACAATAAAGGTCTATTACGAACATATATTGCTATTTAATGTGATTAAATTTATGTCCTGATTATCTTAAAATTTATTTAATTATTCATCTAATCCTCGTACACATATAATTAAGTTGCAAGTGGATATCTTAATATGAAGAAGAATTCAATTAAAGTTAGAATTCTGCTTCGAAATTTTTGATTGAATGAAAATTGAAACTTACTAAATTACAGTACTGCTGAGCTATAGTATGGTTAGTTCTGTCCAGCTCTGTATAGGCTGAAGGTTAAAAACGTAATGTCCGTATCATCATAGTAAGCCAAGGATCAGCCCGTAGTAAGATTCTTAATATAAATCCTGTTATCACTATTGTATCTAGGTTTGGAGAACTTGAGAAACGTATTCTTAATAAAGATTATTATCTGTACCCAGGGCTTGAAGAACGATCGGCTGTGCTCTCCCTGTCCGTGGTGTTCCATCACAAGGCAGAAGCTTACGCGTCGGCAGTGAGCGGATGGGGTGCGCAGTGTGCGGTTGCATTACAACTAGCTACTGGACAAGGTGGCGCCCCCTGCAATGATCCGAGGGCGCTAGAACAGCACGCTCAGAGACATAGACAACTTTATGAACACATGTGTCAAGCTTACACAGAGGTGAGTTTATATGAAAATGTTATACATATATGATCTGTACTATAAATAGACCGGAATTTTGTTATGACAATAGCAAACCATGAAACAACTGCATTGATTTGAAATGTTGTTTGACTGCTTTAATTATAGGATTTATAGTGACATAAGTTAAATATTAATATAATAAGAATATGTAATTGGGTAAAATCAAGGCAGGCTGGTATTGTAATATTCATTCATTTTTACAGGTCCACTCAACTAGTAAGAAACTGCTGTATCAACTTGATCATTTAGTTCAAGTGTGCCATCAAACTGATCCTGCAGATATGGTGAGTTTTTGGAGATAATAGTACGTAGATATTTTTATCTATGTATACATATCTGCTATAGATATGTGACATGTGGTACAAAGTAAGAATAGAACGTATCAACACTCCACTTCATTTCCAGAATATTGATCAAGGCGATTAGGAGAATAAACCATAAATTCATTGGTATATGAGAAATGAATAAGAAAGAAAAAGCCTGGTGTGGTAATAGTAGTATAATTCATTTTCCTATAAGGGGAGACTCATGAATCTGTAAAAACGAATGTGTAAAGACAACTAATATCAACGATTATAGTATTTGCTAACTTTTACAGAAAGCACAAGTTGAGATAGGAATACCACAAGATTCTATTCTTGGTCCGCTGTTATTTCTAGTATATATTAATGACTTACCGGCAAATCTGCCCCCGAATAGCTTTGTAACATTATTTGCCGATGACACACATGTGGGCGTAAGATCCCAAACTAAAAACATTTTAGAACATGAAGTAAACTCGGTCTACTCTAAATGATTGGTTTAAATCAAATGGAATTGTACTTAATACAGATAAAAATGTTCTTATGACGTATAACACTACCAACAGATCATACATAGGAAATATAAGCCAACAATCTTGCAGTAAAGAGACAACGTTCCTTGGATATACTATTGATAATAAATTGAGTCATAAATCGCATATCGGAAAACTATGTAATAAACTCGCATCAGCTAATTTTGCCTTAAGCAAATTAAAATCATTAGTTCATAAAAAAGCTCTGAAGTCTGTATATTATGCTTACATCCAGTCTTTAATTACTTATGCAGTGACAATTTGGGGCAACGCTAGCGATGTAAACAAAATACTCAGGCAGCAAAAACGAGCCATAAGAATTATTTGTGGTCTCCACAAACGCATATCGGCCAGACCACACTTTATAAAAGAAAAAATTATGACTGTAATTTCATTGTACATCTACCACAGTTTCTAAATGTACACCATAAAAGAAATGAGCTAAGTAAGATTTTAGATAATCATAATTACCACACGCGAAATAAAGATAATATACAATTGCCAAAAACAAGACTCGATAAAACTTTTAAACATGGCATTACTTTAAAAATAAAAATGTATATTAAGCTACCTACCTACTACTACCTACTATCAGACAATTACCTTCAAAAGAATTTAAATTGAAAATAAAATATTATTTTGAAAAACATCCTTTTTATAATATAACAGAATATATGACTCAAAATGTAATTATATAATTATACCGTAATCATGATTTTTAAACTTTATTATGACGTATTATAATTGTTTATACCGTGTATTGTGTACGTAATTAATTTATTTTATTTTATTTAATAATATAATTGTAATCGAATTTAAATTTTATAAATATCATTATTGTATATTATGACTTGCCATATATGTAAAGATGTTTTTAACATTGGTCAATAAATGAAACTAAACTAAACTAAACTTTTATGCTTACTACAGTCTGTATTTATCTGTTCAAACAGAATGAAGGTTCGGTAAGCACGGCGAGTAGTAGCGGGGACCCGGCAGCAGACTATAGCTCCGGTGCGAACCACGTGCTCGCCGTCATCCATCAGATACTAGGTCATCACAGAGCGCTAGAAGCAAGGTACCATCAGGCCAGGCTCAAGTTGCATCAGAGGCTTGCGTTGCTCTTGTACAAAGAGGATTGTAGGCAGGTACGTAAATAGTTCAAAAATTAATTCAAACATTGATTTTTAGAACATAGATTGAATTGTTTATTATACCGTAAGAATAACGAATCTTAATTCGTCAAATTCATATTATGTCGTAGGTACTTGAATGGTTGGCGAATCACGGCGAAGTGTTCTTGCAGAAGAATACTGGAATAGGAAGGAATCTCCATAAAGCTAGGGTATATCAGAAATCTCATGAACATTTTGAAAATGTTGCGCAAGTAAGTACTACTTTAAATTATTATTCAGTAGCACTATATAAAGTAGCTTTTATTTGCTTTATACATGAATTCTAATATCACTATTTATCAGTAATTGAAGAAACACTATATTGTTAAATATTATAAAGAACCTATATATGTTACATGTAATGTAGAAGATAAAAAAAGATCCTTACCAAGTTTTAAAAGGGCAGTTTGTATAAAAAAAAAATTGAATATAGGGTTTATATTTGTTATACATATTACACATAATATTATCTTTCTAATATAATACGGATGTTGTTAAAAAAATTTTTAGAATTGAGGATATATCTATTTTTAAATTGCTTATGCCTGATTTTGATTTGATCTTCGGTTTTCCTATATCGATACATATGTATACAGAATACATATACGAACGCTGAAAAATTGCTGGCGGCTGCGGAAGAGTTGGCCCGATCGGGCGAGTGTGACCCCGAAGAAGTGTTGGGGGTCGCTCGGGAATTGGAGGCCCATGTAGCGGCATTTGCAGCTCGCGTCGACCGTAGACGTCGGCGACTCGACCTCGCCGTTTTACTGTATACACATGAGAAAGACGTGAGTGATTACTTTGTAGTTTTAGTTGGCAAGAGTGACTAGTTTGATTGTGCTATTTGAATGATGAATGAATGAATAATCGTTACTATAACGCGCTAGTAACTTACGTACTTAGTAAGGGTTTATATGTTGGCGTTTACCGGCATTTTATTCTAATTATCTTTCAGCATATATTTGTCCATAAGCCTGAGATATACCTCTTATGAGATGAGACATATGTCTCTTGCATAATTTTCCACTTTAATTTGTCTGTGGCGTGTCGTGTCCAGGTCGGTTCTAATTAGTGGTTGAAATTCGACCAAAATTGATTTAAATTATAAGTTTGAACATTATCATAGTGCCATTGTCAAGGAAGGCAATGATTGTAGGACAGGTTATAAAAAAGACAATATAAATATGTATATGTGTGTGTCAAATACATGGTACTATGTATATGTATTTTTATGCATATTAAAAAAAAATATTCTGCACTCTTTCGCTATTCAAACTATAATTGTGCGAAATTCCATACTACTCCGACCGCGCATTTTTTTAAAACATACCCCTATCTTACAGAGTTTTGCTTCACGTTTGATGCATGAAAAAGTAAAAAAAATATAACTGCAGTATGTTTTGCTCTATATATAATAGAAAGAAAGAAAGAAAATAGATGTTAGACTCAAATTAATTAAACCTAAATGAATAACTAATGAAAATTTAGGTTTAATTAATTTGAGTCTCAATTTCTTAAATCTTTGCTTATATACATATATTTCATTCCTTTGGTTAGTTACTCCAATGGTTGGAAACGTTGCGAAGCGGTGGCGGTGTTTGCGCAACAGACGATAGTCCTGAAGCGGCACGACGCGCTCTGGAACAATGCGCTCAACATCGCGCTGCCAGTCTAGATGCATGTGCAGCCACCATCGCGCAAGGGGAGGCACTACTGCAAGACTTAAGGTCAGTTGTTTACATATATCAAATTCATCTAGAATCTGTGAACAAATATGGAAAGATTGAACATGGCAGCGCCAGCTTCGGATGCAGTAAAGTTATTGTTCTGGCCGGTATCAATGTTTTTTTTGTAAGTATAGGTAGGATAGCATTGACACCGTCATATTTGGTATCCAAATTTCCCATAAAGAAAAAAGAGAAGAAAATAATGCTAAGAAATTTTCAAATATTTGCCACTTTATTTTGGTTGTGTTTATAAGTTAAGTTAAGTGAAGACTCAGATTATTTTTAAATTTTTGAAGGTTATTCTTGTGACATCTTTAAACAGTATTTTCATTGTGCTTATTCATGAGTGTTTTGAGCTTTTACAAGTACATATGTATGGGTGATGGTGACAAAGACTATTTTTATCATTTAATATACGACAACGCTTAACAGTATGCACTTAAATGTATATGCTTTTAATTAATATTTTCCATTTACGATTAACTACGCCGTGTGTTCAGAAACTTCATAACCTATTCCCTCAGCAATTTTCTATTACAGTACATCAATACGCAGAGATCGATTGCACCAATGTACTGTTGGCTTCCGTGTTACTCGTACCAACGGCTTTTCATCATATTTTTTTATAAATATAATAATAATCTGTCAACAATGACACAGCTCCATCTAATAACAAAATAAGCAGATCTTGATTTATGGGTACTAGACAACTGACATAAATAGGTACTTACATTTTTTTTTTGTAAATAAAGACATGTAAAACAGCCAGACAGATTCAAACAATCTACTCCTGAATGTTTAATGTTTGTTCCGGGAGACGAATCGAACCCGTGACTATGGGATCTAAAGCGCTGTGCTAAACCGCTGGACTACCGAGGTCATCTGTGTTTCCTGCCACTTATAATAATGAATGGGCTCTTTCAAGTCTAGAATAGAATAGATATAGTAATCTAGAGTGAATAAGCATAATTTGAGGTTGCTTATACCAGCTTAAACTGCTGAACTCGACATCAGGTGATACAGGGCTCGCCAGATGTATAATAATAAAAAAAACAGCGGATTAACATATTTATATGAATCCCTATGGGCAAATCTGTTTCAATTAAAAACAGGTAAATTAAAGATGTGCTAGTTAATCGCGGTTAGTCAACATTTTTCTTAACCAAAATAATAAATGGTAACATATATATCAATAAACAGTAAATGAATTTAGATTGCACTAGTCGTGGACACGAGCATATGCTAAATAATAATAACCATGGACTATTGACACAGCGCCATCTAGTCCTAAGAAAAACAGAGCTTATGTCATAGGTACAAGCTAACAGAGAGAAATACTTTACGTATAATATACATAGAAAACATCCAGGACCAATAAAACCATCATACACTGGAATTGAACCCGCGACTGTAGACTCAATAAATATAAGGAGTACCGTGATTTTTACTAAATATATATCGTACTGGTAATTAACATTCTGACACAAGATTTATATATAAATACCATACTCCCACGAAAGTGCTAGGCCAATTTTTTTTAAATGTTGTATGCATAGGTCTGAGAATCGGCTACTATCTATTTTTCATACCCCTAAGTGATAAAAGTTGGCCACCTCTAACAATTTTAAAATTTTGGACATTGCTTTAAAATTTTTGTATAATGTGGCGTTAAACAATACATACAACCCTAAATTTACACTCTTCTATCATCAACCCCTATTTTTTAATAGTAATTTTCCCGATAGATAGATCCCGCAAATGTTTGCAGGATCTATCTATCGGGAATGTTTTGCCATTATGTATATATCAGCGAGTAATATTATAATAATTACTGTGTCAAATTTAATACAGTATATAATATTACTTGTACGTTGAATTTCGGGATGTGGTTGTGTGGTTGGAGAGGTGTACGGTGTGTTGTTGTGTGTTGATGCCAGAGGCATGAAATACAGGATCATTTATAATATCAGTTGCATTTCGAATAACCTGATATTGCAGATGAAATTGACATGCGTTCTCCGTATTACTGACATCCCCTTAACAACGTAGCCGGGCTAGCATTTACAATTATGATACAGAATATCTGCTCTGTAGTTTAATCATGATATTAATTATAATGAAATACATTTATGTAAATGTTATTTAAACATAATCAAGACTAACAAATAGTGTAAACTTTTGTGTTTAATATAATAATATACATCTTAATCATCATTACATAGTATAAAGTCGCTGTCGCTGTCTGTCACTATGTATGCTTAAATCTTTAAAACTACGCGACGGATTTTGAAGCGGTTTTTTTAAATAGATAGAGTGATTAAAGAGGAAGTTTTATATGTATAATACATGTACACCCGTGCAAAGACTTGGTGGGTAGCTAGTCTTAATAATATTATAAACGCGAAAATTTGTAAGTATGGATGTTTGTTACTCTTTTACGCAACAACTACTAAACGGAGTTTGATGAAACTATACAGTAATATTATTCTTAGCTTATGCATCAGAATAACACTTAGGCTATATATATATATATATTTAATTTAACACGGGTGAAACTGCAGGCATGTCTAGTTATTTATTTTATTAACCAAGTCTTAACAAAATTAAATTATCATCTGAATGGAATCTAGTGACGGTAGAAGAAAAAACTTCTGGCACCTATCTATACTAACATTTCTGTTACTCCAGTCAGCTCGTGACCACTACTAGTGTCCCAAGAGGTACCTTTATTTGCCATAAAATTATTCGAGTTAAGACTCGGTTAATAATATAAATAATGTAAGACTAAAAAAATCACAATATTGGTAAGTTCTTTCAAGGCCCACGGTATACGGGTTCGCTACTTTGTTAGAGTACAATAGGGTAAGAAATTGTACAATCCAATGTCATTAGATCGGATTTCATTTGAAAAGTAAGCCTTTCACAACTTCTATATATATTTATTAATGAAGCCTTAAGCATAACAATTCGAATTGCACACAGATTTGCATCTGTAACAATAAAACCCCTCGATAATATAAGCTACAACATCTATAAACATCTCTATGATTAACTGGTGGCCCTCCCCTTAGCGGGATGCTCGTAACATTGTGACTTTTATATATAAGAACATAATATATAGCCTGAGTCGCTCTGGAATAATGCACCTTGAGAGCTGTATTTTAAAGACAGATTTATCAAATAGTGCAATAGATACGGATTGCAGTTTTCTCGTAACCAAATCCAAACGCTCCTATTAGTACAGATGGATGATGAAAATAATTATATTATCTATACAAATAAATAGATATGAAGTGTATATACGTAATTTCAAACCAACAGATTTTTTATTAAATCATAACGAAAATATATATAATATTTACGGTAACATGTTAATTTTAAAATAATAATATATATTTTGTCTGTAACTGTCTGTTTGTTCCTAATCTCAGAAACTGCTGGACCGCTTTTGCCGAGGCTTCATTCGCAGATAGTTAATATTATAAAGAATAACTTAAACTTAGGCTTACTTTTATTTTAGACATTTTATTTAGTTTAATTCCACGCAGATGTAGTTGCGGGTAAAATAGTATATACTGACATACATTGTATATACATAATAATATAGCATGTGTAGATACTGTCTGATGTGATGACGTCGGCTAAATTTAAGTTAACTATCATAACTAAAATAAAAAAAAATCGATGTCTACAGACTGTATTAAAAATCAGTGTTTCTATTTTAAATGTACGGTATCTGAAGGTTGTTACCTCTATTCTGTATTGATTTTCTATATTCTGTATCGATGTTAATTTTAGCATATCGTATGGTAATTTTTAATCAAGTTATATTTAAATAGATGCTTTCGGTGGTAAAGCATATTAAAATTTATTCACATGCAAATTTTAGTAGGTACCTATAATAATTTATGCATTTTTGATTGACGTGTTGCTTCCACAATAGATGTTAGTTATACAATTTGTTGGTTCTCATTAACAATTTCCATTTCTACTTGACACGACAGGCTTTTCAAATGGTGGGGTTGATGTATGCACAACCTGCTGTTGCTGAGTTGCTGAGATGGGATATCATACTATATATATCTCCTGTCGTGCCCTTTGTGTTTATCATCCTATACTTGAAAAAGGCAACCGACTGGAACATAATAGTTGCTAGTTTCTGGTTTAAATAAACTTAGGCTGCTATAGGCGGATTTAAGTCCTAGCACGACTAAACATTAGTATTCGTGAATTTTTATTAGCCTGGTTGTTTATATATATATATATATATCTGTATTATGTAGGAATTTACAATAAATATACGCAAACTCTCCTTCATTTGGGATTAGATGACGCTGTGTGATTTGTATTTACTAATTATTACTACAATAAGGCAAATATAAGAATTTATTATTTTATATATTTATATTTTCAAGGAAAAGGTTATACATTGTTATTTCCTCTCCTTTTTCTATTTGCGGGACCAATTAATGTTTGTAAAAGTAGGTTAAATTGACAACTTATAATTTATTGACACGACAGAATAATACGGTCACGGGTTTTAGTCCTCGCAAACTTTTTTTATGTATATTTTGTAGAAATTTACAATAAATATGCATAAACTCTGCTTAATTTAGGACTAGATGACGCTGTATGATTTGTCTTGAGAAGTTAGTAGTAACTATTATAATAAAAATATATAAAGTTTCTTCTACATTTAAATTTCCAAGGAAAAGGTGCACGCTGTTATTTCTGCTTCTTTTTCTATTTGCGAAAGCAATTATTGTTTGTAAAAGTAGGTTGAATTGAAAACTTACAATTTCTTTGTTTCCTTATAACAAGCAACCGTACTTGTAGGTAGTTTACAACAGTTCTCTCGTCTTGTTAAAGCGGAACTTTGAATGTTCCGTGTGGCCAGCAACTATTGTGTCAAACGTCCCAGTTCTGCTCGCAGATGCTGGACAGTGACGAGATAGTGCGAATGGAACTGCATTCATATCCGCGAGCGTAACGTCGGCCAC